CATTGATTATAAATTGTAATACCTAGTTAAATGTAAAATGATAATAGTATTTCAGTTGATAGTATCGATGATCTTTTAATATCGGTTCATTGTTTATGCTGAAAATGTTGGTTTTAAAATATATCGGGTGTCGGTTTTTTATCGGTTGCATATATGGGAGTATCGGATATCGGTAAAAAGAGGCACCGGCCCATCCCTAGTTTTTACTACTACGAACCCGGGGTGGTCACCCATCCGGGAGGTAGTAGCAGCGGGCGCTACTTACTCTCAGTCACACTCCGCGACTGGTAGCAGCCAACGCGCCAAGCCAAGCCACTAATATAACATATAATAGTAGCTACCTATTTAAAATATTAATATTTGGTACAGTATATATGGTCTGTTCGCGGACTGCTCGGCTAGTTTACTTGTTATAGTTATTATGCACATTTTTAACAATATAAATAACATAATCATGGCAGGAATTTAAGTAATTAAAATATTTTATATATTTTTTTAAAAAAACAAAAACAAATTTAATTATTCATTGAAAAATAGGTAGATACCTACATAACATACATAATATTCACTATACATTGAATCACAAAATGAAGTAAAGTAAAAATGTAATAATATTCATACATGTGCTCCTCCCCCTACCAGCAAAAAACCTACAAACAAAACAAAAAATAGCTAATGGCCTTAGTTGCCGGGCTCAAGCTCAATAAAAAAAAAAAAATGTAATAAACGACATATTATACCTACCTATACATCAACTTTAAAACAAAATTAAACAACATAATATATTGTGATAATATCACAAAACTATAATCGATTTTGACTTTTTTTAAACCTTTCAGTTATGTTATAAAATAATCAAATAACTTTATTTATTTGAAATTTTAAAATTAAATATTAATTATAATTTAGTTTAAATATTCGTTTTTGTTATTCATAAAGTTTATCTACATTTGTTTGTTGGTTGTTGGGGGATAATTTCCGCTCATATTCCGGCGCTACTGAAATAGGTACAATAATATTTTTGTTTAAAAACACGTTTTGATGACGCTTTTAAGTAGTTTTAACCTTTTATTACGTTTGAATAGCCCACTGCCACAATGGTTTTTTGACCAGAGCTATTATAGGTGGTCTGACTTTATAAATTATATTTTATAAATAATAAAATATCCAACAAAAATATTTATTTATTTATCTTTATATATCTCATCTTTCTGTATACCGAAAATACTGGTAGGTATATAAAAAATTTCGTGTCACGTGTTTGTCCGGGATAAACTCCGAAACTACTGGACCGATCTTGATGAAATTTTTACACTGCGTGTAATTTGGTCCAACTTAAAAGATAGGCTAATTTAAAAAGGGAGAGGACCAACCCCGAGAGGTGCTCAAACAGGAATTTTGAGATTTCAGATGGAAATTTTTGTTGCCACGAGAACAAACCATTTATTATATACATCGACGATTTGTTATTGTACATATACATATTCAATCAGTATTATTATTATACATCTATAAGCAATTATGGGTTTTTAAGCTAGGTATATAATAATAATAAAAAAAAACTATTTGCTTTACTTTTTAAATACAAATTATAATATAATATCTATCTATAAACATGTGAAATTAAAATCTCAGTACAGGCTAAACTCTTTAACTAGGTACTCACTTATCAGATCTTCTTTATTTTTTTTTTTAAGCGAAAGAGTATTTCGCGGAGAAGGCGTTTATATGAAAGAAAATTTTAGGAAAATCCACCGGTGTATAAAATATTGGTTGCTATTGGTTAATCACGCATGTTTGTTGATTTGTATTAGGTATTATCTTTTGCCAATATCCATTATCCATATATACCTATATAATATTAGTTCCAGAGTTAAGTCTGTACACTGTATAGTTGTAGTCTGTGTATTTATATAGTTATATATAGGTACCTATATTATATATAAATTAACGTTTGTAGGTTAGTGGGTAGATTAGACCTCTGGGAAGAAGATAGGTTACCTAATTTATAAAAGGTTAAATTTGTTTTTTTTTTATTCGTCTGATTTTAGTACGGTTAGGTACTTATAGGATAGGATAGGATTTTGAATAAATTGAATATATTAATCCACCGTAAGTGGAATTACGTAAAAACGACAAACTTGGTATAACTTTGAGTTAAATCATACACTTACGTACAAACAGCACGAGGTCCGCTATCTACCGCAGGTAGATACCTACCTGATAATGTACTGCTGCGAATCAGAATTTTTATTCCGGGCGACGGAAAAGTTAAGATAAATTTTGAACACCATACACCGAATATTAAATAACGAATTGAACAAAGTTTGAGTCATATAGAGTTGATGCATTTAACGGGCAACTACGAAGTGCACGGGATCAGCTAGTAAATTAATAGTTTATATTATAAACGGGTTGATTCCAATGACCCAATTCAAAATGGGTATGTTATACCTAATTAAGTAGGTACAGACAAAAATGAAGTAAATTACAATAAAAATACTAAAAATTACAAAATAGTAATTTAAATAATACATACCTATACCTACCTAGTAACATTTAACAACAGCTCAACAGTACCTAATCTACGTATTTTTGAAATGTAATTTTGTATTATAAATACCTACCTATGTGAAAAAGTCTCGCTTATTTTTATATACCTACTTAACGTGTAGGAAAAATATGAATGGAAATATAATGAAACGGTCAGGGGCGTAATTAGGGGGGATTAGAGGGATAGAGCCCCCCCAAAACTTTTTTTTACTGCTAACATTTTGATTAAAGTATTGATAATGACCATTCATGTTTGCTAAAAACGTATATCCCTCCCCCCCCAACCAAATTCCTAATTACGCCACTGGGCCACTGGAAACGGTGAAATATCTTAGGAGAGACGAGGAAAATTACTTTTCCTAATTATGCCTCATATTACATGAGCCATTGAACTTCAAATATATTAGAAATATGTAATAAAAAGGTAAAAAGTGAGCAATCGTGTTGCGCTGGCTCGCGGCTTGGGTTCGGCTACCATCTTACCTCTGTTGGACTGGATTCGTTCCTATTTACTAAAATATAGTAAATAGGCCTTGATGGGTTAAGCTTTACGGCTCCAACTCTCCAAGTCTCGTATACTTATAGCTACGTCTGTTGTCCCTCAAGGTGGACATTTTTATCCAATTTTATTCTCACTAATCATAACTATTAACTACTATAATAGTGTCTCAATCGACCCTCGATTCTGCAAGTATTGTGTTTTGATGATGATATAAAGATTTTTCGTAAAATTGAAGGCCAGGATTTTTGCATAAGCTTACAGGAGGACTTAGACAGATTTGTTAAATGGGTTGAAAAGTTTGAGTTATCGTTTGAAAAATTATAATAATCTACTGTCCTATTAATTAATAATAACATCATTAATCACTGTATGATCTTAGACGATAAAGTATCTGTTTTCTGAAACATAAATAATTAAGAGTTTCTCTTGAAATGGTAGGTAGGTATAAAGGCAGTGGCGCCGAACACGGGTATCAACTGGTGAAAATTGCCCAGAACTATTTATGGTTGGATCATGTGGGTGGCTGGGTGATAATAAGTGATCCGTCATTAGTGGTATTTTATATTTAACAATAACGGTAATTGTAAAGAATAGGCAATAATAGTAAGAGTATGGCAGATCACCAGGTAGTATACCACGATTATAATGCACTATTCGAGAGTAGCTAAACATTTTTTTTAAAAAGATGGGTCTAACAACAGAATTTTTTCCCTAGAACATGAAATATAGATCAACAGATTGATAAGACAACTCAATAATGTGTCAATTAAACGAGAGGCAATAAATATTAATTTTACTAGATATACTACATATAGAGGGGAAGTAATGCTAACGCGGTCCCCCCTCTGGTTCTCGATACCACGAAAAAAAAAAAAAAAAAGATATACTACATATTAGCATTTACTAGAAAAGTTGATATTATGTTTTATTTTCAATATATTTAGGTTTTATTCTTGTGATATTTATAGATATTTTAAGTAATAGATATTTAAATGTGCAGATATTTATTATATTTAAAATCTTTGATTCATGTTTCGATCCATTTTTTTTTTCAAAACTTGAAAACTTAAAACAATATTCCATATTAGTTTTTCTTATAACAATTCAAATATGTAAAAACTACATATGCATTATGCAAAAAAAATTTTATAAGTGTGAATATTTTGATAGAATTTGTAATTTAACGTTTTTTTTACTTAAATAGAATTTTGACCAACAATATTGTTCAGTAATTAAGCTGAGTATTGCAATATTTTATCAAAAACTAACAATTGCAGTGATCATTACATTAAAAAATATCAAAATAATACTTTCAAAAAGATAGACCCAAATGCCAAGTCGTAAATTATTATGATGTTTAATATCAGTATGAAAATATTGACCCTACAATTTCCATACTCTTTAATTGTTCCAAATATTGTCAAACATCAACAATAACTTCACTATTATATGCCATTTAGACCCATTTTGTCTACACTATACATTTCAATCATTTATTTTTGCTAAATTATCACTTACAACTTTAAATAATATATTATCAACAGATTTAGAATGCAACTCAAATTGAAATAAAACTTTATTTAACAAAATTACAACGTAACAAAAAAAAATATCATCAGGACAAAATATTATTGACACCGCTGAATATTAATTTGAGCTTATAGGCCTACCGAGTAGCCGAGAATTTCATGGTGTGCTCCCATCCGTATTTGGACAAAGGGACCCTTTTATATCGTTTGAAGCAATGACAGTTTTAAGTAGTTTTTTTATGTAGGGACCTTTTCTTAAATTTCCCGGCAGTCTAAAAATAGTCTAACCGCAAATGGACATAGGTACTACAAAATAAAAGTACAGACTAGTGTTAATTATTATTGTAATTACAATGGCTTAATTAGTCTACGTTTTAAATGGCTATTTATTTTCCTTTTTAAATAAACACCATTTATTATTCCGTCTTCTTTAGTATGTCATTTTCTGGTCGATTTAGTGCCAATAAAACCTGGCAATGGAGTATACAGCTAAGTGAATCATTATCTATTTTCGAGGAGATCTTTATCCAGTCTTTTAAGTATAAGGCAAGTGTTTCCTTAGATGATGAAAAAGGGCTCAAACCTCTAAATAAGCACGCCTGTAACACAAAATCATCCCCTATTAAATTATTCAAATTGAATATAAAAATTTTGAAACAAAACTATATTATTCTTAAATATACACATTCAATTATTAATGAAATATTTCAATAACATACCCATTTTAATTGCTTATCATTTAATTTATCTGGTCCCCCTTCAGATTCTATTGCCTTATCCATTAATTGTATGTACTGTGCTAATTTCTTCAACCTCAATCTTCTTCCCCATCCAAGGTGTATGTTGTACATTTTCAATAGTACTTTCTTTGATATAAATAATTAATAATATAAAAATATTTGGTTTAGCAATATAAGTATTTAATTTAAGAAACTCACAATATGTTGAGGAGGTAAGGAGCTAAAATTGTACGGGAACATAGTAAAAACTGGGATGGCTTGAATTATGTCTTCTACTGGAGATACATTTCCTGCTCCCAGACATTCAATTACACGAAACCATTTTAAAAGCATATCATCTGAACATTCTTCAGCCATTAAACTCAAATGCCTAACATAATAAACTAACATACAAATCTACATGCCTATGTACAAATTAATAAATATAACGTACAAATATTTTTGATAGAGTACATAGTATGCTATGATTCATCAATATTTGTATATTAATTAATTTTTCTATTTTTTATCAATAAGAATTAATCAAGGAGAATAAACTTACTCAAAAACTTTCATGTTATGTTCAAAATTGTTCTTTTGATCCTTTATCCAATACTCCTTAAGTTGCTCATCTGTCCAAAAATGTTCAGATAACAAATACTTAGGAAACATGAACCTGAAAGTAAATAAAGTTGAATAAAAATAAAATTGTGAATGCTTAGTTTTTATTATTATACCTACAACAAAACCAGATCTTTAATAGAAATATATTTTTTGTAGCCTAAGATAAATGTTAATAATGATAGCTTATTGTATAATTTAAAAATAAATATATATTTACTTACGCTATTGGAAATATAAGCAAATCAAGAAATGGTATATTACAAAAAATTAGGATTGGTGTCAAACCAAAAAGTTGTGATGGCAACCTATACTTCAACTCCAACTCGGCATAAGTTAATGATGACAAATCAGAACTACAATATTTGTTATACGCTGATAATAACACTAGAATATCTTTGTATAGATACTGAAATAAAAAAGAAACAAATATATTATATTTGTTATCCATTTAAGTAAATATTACTAACTTTAGTCCCAAGAACACTCAGTCTTGCATATTTTGCTGTAGATGGCGACCATTTTTCAATCCTTTTAACAAGTCGCATTGTGAAGTTATTATCGTCTAAGATCTTTGACTCGTTCATATTTTGTTTATTGTCTAAATTATTATCATGCATAACATCAGTGTTATTTAAAGAAGCATTTTTCTTTTCAGTAGATTGTAAACATGGGTTAGCATAATCAACACCACTGCCACTTATAAAAGGTGGTACCCCCGGAGGTTTTGTATCTGTTTTCAGTGGTTCTTTGCTTGGTAACTGCAAAATTACTGAATTCCTAGAAATAAATTATTAAATAAATTAAAAGCTCATTCCCACATTTAATATATTTTAATTTAATTTAACTTAAGTGTGACCTTTGTGGTCATGTGAATATATTTCATAATAATAATATGGACCAACACAATAATTAGATCTCAAATGCTCAAAATAATATGCAAGTATTCATTAATTACTCGTTGTTGTATATTCTCATCGGTACGGCTAGAAGTCAAACATTATCGAACATAATCTATATCAACTATACCTATTATAGTAATAAAGTGAATAATATACATGGGTCTTACACAATTGAATTGCATATACCACTTCAATAGGCAGTGGCGTGTATCATAAAAGAATTGGTGTTGCTCAAATAATATTAGGTGACCTCACCTTCATAATACTGTTATACCGACCTATACAATTTCCTAATCTTTTTCTATCAATACCCACCCACCCGGCTTAGAAATTTTGTCATTTATTGAGCCCTTTAAGAATACCGTAAGAGCGGGATACTTTACTCCAGGGGTTAAACATTGCTCCAAAAAAAAATATTTATTGATATCAATCGTAGCACATTACGATTTTGAGATCAGAGATTGAAGTTTTTTTTATATTATTCTTATTAACATTTCCAATTTTTTCAAACATTACGAACATCAATCTATAAGTTTGCCTCCAAGATGTAGGTCGTGAAAAAAATTGTTTTCAAAAACACAAAAACACATAACGGAAAAGTTATCCAAAATCTAGGGGATTGAAATTTAATTTAAAATGTATTGAAAAAAGACTTTTAATCAACTAAAAAAAAAAAAAAAAAAATTATATTATGTATAGGTTCAAATAAGTTACAACACAAGCACTAAACATTGCACCAATAGTTATTATGCATTAAAGTAAGGTAATTTTAATCATTGTGTAACCTGCAGTGTATTTTAACTTTGCTCCAAACTTTTGGGAATGAGTAAGTCACTAGTACGACATTCGGATTTTTTTGAATTGTTCTTACCTCTCAACATCTATAGGTACATATAAAACAACACCAACAGGTAATTTTTATCTTTGTTATTGAAGCTATAGTATAGGTTCAAACTAAAAAAGAAATATATTTGGAGCAAAGTATCCCGCTTTTAAGGTAACGTTACAGTATGATACAATGAAGAAATTGTTCAAGAGTGGTATCAGAATCCTGAACCAGTGCCAAATTTATAAATGATTTGGTTTGTTTTGTCATGTCATGTTTGTACTTGACAGTGACTGTATTAAATAACTTGTTATGAACAATTGTTAACAGTAAAAAGTTTTCATTTTGTTGTGGAATAGGTATTTATGTTCAAGAGCTCAAAATTAAAATAATTTCATATAGGTAACTTTAATAAGAAAAAAAATTAAAAGGTCTAAAATAAATATGAAAACCAGTTCATGGCCAGTTGGGCCATGGCCTGAGCTAATCCTAACTCAATAACATATTGACTTAATAAAATTTGAGTTTAAATAAAAACTTATTTTGTGATAATAATTTTTTTCTTATTAATCATTTGGCCTGAACTAATAAAATGCTCTGGTTTCGCCAATGGTAATATCGCACAATACTGGGAAAGACGCACAGACACACATACTTGAAAAATCGACTGTTCTTGTACGTTCTGTTTTCAAAATTCAACAATCTGCAATTAGTGGCAGCATAGCACCGACACATGCTGATCATGTACTTCATCGTGCGTGGCCCGACGAATGACGATAGTTAATATTTATTATTTAATGTTTGGACTGTTTGGAGGGTCAAATTTGACTAAGCTCTCCTCACTTGATACGTGAATACTATTCATAATCTATGGTGAATGAACGTAAATAACAAGTGTTTTCGTGATCCGCGACGTGATAGGTGATAACTGATAAGTGATAACTAATAAGTTTTAAACGCGGACTAAAATATAATACTTATATCTTATGACTTATAGTACAGAACAATATCTTAGCGTACAACATCTTGGTCCGTGGTTTTAAAATTTCCTGGGACTTATGTACGCTTATATCATACGTTATAGCAGTTATAGGCATAGACCTATTAACTAAACTAATTAACCTATTAACTATTAATTGATAAACGAAAAAAGTCCCCGGTAACAAAGTCACACAGAAAAAAGTCTCCCGTTGCAGCAGTGGCGTATTTACGGGAGGGGGGGAATTTGATGAAGACGAATCTGCAGATATTCCTAATTTTTTAAAGCAAATAAGTCAAAATATAAGAAAGAGATCTTTTTTTATATCTGAATAAAATAATAAATACATTTTTATATATTTTTGAATTTATTTACGATGAGTAAACCACAAATCTAAATAAATGCATTTTTATAATTTTTAAATACTATTATTATAAGATATTTTTTTTTTTTTTTTTAATTAAATTATAAGGGGACTTTTTTTCTGTGTGACTTCTTACGGGGGAATTTTTTACAATTGACTTTTTTTTCTTAATTTCCTATTAATTTATGAGTTAATAGGGCCAAGGAACGGCAGAACAATACATTTAATAAATGGTACATAGCTTCTCAATCTTCATAATTATTGTTTATATCATAATAAAAATGTGAAGTGACAATTTATTTTCATAAGCGTTCGAATTTCAAATTTTTACAAAATCCATGAAAATTTGAGATTATTTTATATTATTTTTACACAAGGGTTGATACAAGATTCCTCTTATATTTACTATAAATTAAACTTCAATTATTAAAGCTGATTGCAGTCTCAATAATTTTTTATGAGCAATCATATTTTAGTTCAAATTATGAAGACATGACAAGTTGGATATTCAACCATCGAATAAATTATAATAACTATCTATAATCAAACAATTTTTGTTATTTATCAAAAAATATTAGTCATAAAACTTCAAATATTGCAGTGTTACTTGAATTATCATTTTCTATACACAATGGCCTCTTAAAAATATTTATACTAAATTTTAAGCCATTTTAATTACGATTTTTTTTTATTTTCTTTCTTAAACAATTGATAAAAGTCCTAGAAGCCTATAAAATCTTTGAAAATTTAAAACAATATTAAACATAGGGTTTTTTTTTTATAGCAATACAAAAATTTAAAAACTATATAATAAAAATTTATAATAATTTATAAAAGTTTAAATTTCATACTTTGATAGAAATTATATTGTAAATTTTTTTAAACTTAAATAGAATAAAGCCACAATATTATTCAAAATTTGAATTGAGTATTGCAATATTTTATCAAAAATTAAGTTTAAATAAGTAATATATCAAATACCGAAATAGTACGTCAAATAAGTTACACTTAAATATAAGTCTAAGATTATTCATTCAATTGTTTAATATCAGTATGAAAATATTGATCCTACGCTTTCAAATACCATCAACCATAATTTGGCCATTTCATCTACTCATTGCAATATTATACGTTTCAATAATGTTTCTTTCTAAAATCTCATTTCCAATTTTAAATATATTAAACGGATTTATAACAAATTGAAAAAAACACTCTATTAACAAAATTACAATGTAACAAAATAAAATATCACCAAGACAGAATATTATTAACACCACTGGATATTAATTTTTTTTTACAAAATATTGATTAACATATTATGTACTACAAAACAAAAGTACAGACTAGATTTTATTATTATTGTAATTACAATGGCTTATTCTGTCTACGTTTTCAATGGTTATTTATTTTCCTTATTAAATAAGCACCATTTATTATTCTGTATTCTTTAGTATGTTATTTTCTGGTCGATTTAATGCCAATAAAACCTGGCAATGGAGTATACAGCTGAGTGAATCGTTATCAATCTTTGAGGAGATTTTTATCCAGTCTTTTAAGTATAAGACAAGTGTTTCCCTAGATGATGAGAAAGGACTCAAACCTCTAAATAAGCATGCCTAAAACAAAAGTAAAAGATCCACAATTAAAATAATAAAATATAATATTTTTTTTTTATATTTGAATAATAAAAACACATTAAATTATTGATAAAAAATGTAAGTAACATACCCATTTTAATTGTCTTTCATTTAATTTATCAGGTCCACCTTCGGATTCTATTGCCCTGTCCATTAGTTGTATGTACTGTGCTAATTTCTTTAACCTCACTCTTCTTCTCCATCCACGGTGTATGTTATACATTTTCAATAGTACTTTCTTTATTATAATTAATAATAAAATTTTTTAATATAACAAAAATATTTGACTCACAATACAAGTATTTAATTTAAAAACTTACAATATGTTGACGAGGTAAAGTACTAAAATGATAAGGGAACATAGTAAAAACTGGGATGGCTTGAATAATGTCTTCTACTGGAGATACACCTCCTGCTCCCAGACATTCAATCACACGAAACCATTTTAAAAGCATATCATCTGAACATTCTTCAGCCATTAAACTCAAATGCCTAACACAATAAACTATATTAGTATGACTCATCAATATTTTTATATAGTTAATTTTTCTGTTTTTTAACAATAAAAATTAAATAAGAAAAATAAACTTACTCAAAAACTCTCATGTTATGTTCAAAATTGTTTTGTTGATCTTTTATCCAATACTCTTTAAGTTGTTCATCGGTCCAAAAATGTTCAGATAGCAAATACTTAGGAAACATGAACCTGAAATTAAATAAAGTCGAATAAAAATAAAATTGTGGATGCTTATGTTTTTATTATTATACCTACAACAAAACTAAAATATTAATAATTATAAAACTTTATTTTTTGCAGCAAAAAGAGATAATGAATACAAAAATGAATAATGATAATTGTATAATTTAAAAATAAATATATTTTTACTTACGCTAATGGAAACAAAAACAAATTGGTAAATGGTACAGGCCAAAAAATTAGGATTGGTGTCAAACGAACAAGTTGTAATGGCAACCTATACTTCAACTCCAACTCAGAATAAGTTAAGGATGACAAATCAGAACTATAATATTTTTTATAAGCTGACAGTAACACTAGAACATCTTTGTATAGATACTAAAAAAAAAAAAAAAAAAAAAATGTTATATTTGCTTTCCATTTAACGATTTAAATAAATATTACTAACTTTACACCCAAAAACACTCAGTCTTGCATATTTTGCAGTAGATGGCGACCATTTTTCAATCTTTTTAACAAGTCGCATTGTGAAGTTATTATCGTCTAAGATCTTTGACTCGTTCATATTTTGTTTATTGTCTAAATTATTATCATGCTTAACAACAGTGTTATTTAAAGAAGCATTTTTCTTTTCAGTAGATTGTAAAGATTGGTTAGCATTATCAACACTACTGCCACTTATATAGGGTGGAACAGCCGGAGGTTTTGTATCTGTTTTCAGTGGTTCCTTGCTTGGTAACTGCAAAACTACTGAATTCCTAGAAATAAATTGTTTAATAAATTAAAATTTCATTTCCACATTTGATATTTTTAAATTTAATCTAACTAAAGTGTGACCTTTGTGGTCATGTGAATACATTTCATAATAATTATATGAAACAACAAAACAATTATTTCTCAAACGCTCAAAATAATATTCAAGTATTCATTAATTACTTGTTGTTGTATATTCTCATCAGTATAGCTAGAAGCCAAACATGGTCAAACACAATCTATATTAACTATACAGATACTGAACTTAGGTATTCAACAATTTAATTGCATAAGACACCACTTCAATAGTTAAAAAGAACTTTCTACGAAAATTCTAAATATTTTTTATTCAGTAGGTGTATTATAAGATAAGCAAAGGTAATTACCATACGTTTTAATGTGTCAACTAGGTGTTTAGATACTTACCTAATTATTATTATAAAATTATATCTATTTTTTCACAATTTTGGGATTTGATCTATTAAAAGTACCAACAGTATGAAACAAAGAACAAAGTATCAACTCTAAGTATAATTCTATTGATTTAGAAGACATGAAATGTTTGTACTTGATAGTAATCAGTGGGATATATGGGGAGGAGGCCCCTAGGACAGAGACCATGGTGAAATTGCAGGTTCAATTTAAGCATTGCATGTATATCTTCACTGTTTACAGTTGTTCACCATTATTAAGTTAGCCGGTTGATTAAAATCGTTTTTGAGGAATCAACAAGGAAATGTTAGATGGTCAGGACTTGCTTTGATGACTTATAATTGACTTTAATGTTAAATTCATAGTAAGATAACATTAAAATATATAAATGACACTGTCAATATTTTTTAAAAAAGAATCAAAAAATTAATTTTACATGGTAATAATTAAATTGCGTAATTTTTATTTGTACTGTAGGTATACGTCATAATTACAACCACCTAGCTGAGCCAGATCCCAAAAAATGTATAGTTATGGCTATGTTAGTTGTGCTCTTCTTGACTAGTGATAACTGATAAATTGGCCCACAGTGAAAATAATTTGTATATACACCACTGACAGTAACTGTTTAATAACTTCAACCTTGTTTACAGTAAGAAGTTTTAACTTTTTTGTTGAACATTTAACTTCATGTGTTCCAAATTAAAATAATTTCACTTTAATTTGAGTTTGAAAAAAATCAAAAGCACAAAAAATTACGAAAAATAATGAAGCATAGTACCTATTTACTATAGTACTAATACATACATAGTACCTATTTCCAAAATATAAAACTATTACAACATTTTAAACTTGGCACATTTCATTTATAGGTACTGCAAAGAAACAACAATAATAGGTAGTTGGGACTGGGGGCAGGTGTGTTATTATGTGGACATATAAAATGTCCACACAATTGTGGTAAGTACCTATTTGAAAAGAATTTCAAGCATTAAAAGGCATTGAACAATATTTGGCTAAAGACTAATATTTCTCAACATTAACAGTCAGTTTTCCTAACATTTAAAACCATATTGTTACCAATACCAAACACCAGCCATATCAAAATTCGAAGTAGGGACCAAAAGAAAACTGATAAGTAGATGGTAGAGAATAGAGATGGACTCGAATGGACCTAACCTAACTAGGTAGACTCGTAAGATATATTACTAAACACAACATCCAATCGGTGTGTCGATGAACGGATGGAGTAATATTGGATAATATTGGGGAAGACGAGTGATCCGCTTCTTCAGGTTGACACACATACCTGAAAAATCGACTGTTTTTGTACGTTCTGTTTTCAAAATTCAATAATCTGCAATTGGTGGCAGCATAGCACCGAGACGTGCTGATGATGAACTTCATCGTGCGCAGCCCGACAATGTTTGGCGGGTTAATTAAATCTGACTCGGCTCTCGCACGATTGCCGAATGCTGATACTATTTTGTCGTCGTTTGAGTTTAAAATTTACATTATTATTTCAAAATAGGTTTTAAAATTTTTTGGCGAAAACAAAATTTAATATATTATTATTATGACGGATATCTGGTAGTGATAACGGCACAGCTGATAATGTTTTTGGCCTCTTGGATAATAATAATATCATAGATATTATATACATAGATAATAAAGATATTATATAATGATCAATCAAAATATATCGTCACTACGCGACGTAAATATTATCATATTGACATTAATTGAATATTGCTATCAACATCAAAAAATTATAATTTTTCCATCTGATACTTTTCAGATTCCATAGGTTACCGGCCTACAGAATAAATCTATTCTGTGACCGGTCGACCGTACGAAATTTATTTTTCGCGCCGTACGTCTTACTGCAAAACTATCGATTTCTGTGCAGCACGCGCACCATCGATTTCTATTTAACATGAGCACTATCGATGTTTCACAAACACGCGATCCTAAAACACAAATCACAATACAGTATACAATAATAATTGTAACGATATAATGAGATAATAAGATCGCGGCGGTCCTTTATTACTCTTTCTTTCTTTCCCACACGCACGACGACGTCGACACACGAGGCCGGTTGCGATCGTTGGAGCAATAACGATTAACGATTGCATCTCATCACGCCATCCCTTATCGCCATTTGCCGGTCCATCCGTGACGAATCTTCAACAGTTTTTAGTACTTTTTACTGTTTTAACTCGATTTACCTTCAGTCTCCACGGCATTAACCGTTCACAGTTCCCAATCTTTTCAAATTTTTTCAAGTCTCCACGCAGTCGTGTGGTTTCCATTCGCGTCCGAAACGTGTAAGTATTACATTTTATTTTTAGGTATACTATAATAATATATGAGAATTTACCCCGACATTTTATGTCGGTCGCGAGTATTGAATAGTAATTGCCAATAGGTAATTTACGGTAATTTATAAAAACATACCTACCTATTATATTTTATTGTTTTCGTACAATGGCAATCGGAATGACCGGGAATGATTTTAATTGAGTGGACTGGTACAATAGAATACTATGACAATCGAAACAAAACATGCCGTCGGCGAGCAATTCCGCTATGGAGTTGCGTAATTTGGCCATCGTCCCTACATCGCCAGTCTATTATTTTATAAATCAACTTCTTTCATAGTCTCATACAAACGTAAATTGATTTTTGGTCACACATAAGCGTTATTCAATATATATCCAATCTACGTTTCAGTTACAGTTGCTGTCTTATTTTACTTTTAATTACTACCATTTCGTATTTTGTGTCCTAGGTCATAGATTTTTTTCGCAGGATGTTCAATATAATTTCAGTTGGGGTAACTACTGGTGTTCGGGGAGGGGGGAGGGGTGTTAATCTAGTGTTATATTGAAATTTAATTCTAAATGGGACACCTTAATATTTAGACATGTACTAGAAAATTCATCTCTATTTTTTCTTTTAGTAAAACAATTATTCAAATTTTATTTTTGGAATTAAAAAGTAGGTATATTTAAATCACAGATATATATTATTATCGGGATTAGATTTATTATTTCATATAAAAAGACGCTACACAGAATTTGTTGTATTTGTTTTACAAGTACAAAACATGCCAAATTTACACTCAACAGATCACATTTTTCTTTGTGAGTTTAAATATTAAGGTGAATCAAATAAGTTTCTTGTATTTAATATAGTGTAAATTAAGAATGCTCATTACTCACATAAAAACTAAATTATCATAAGAAACCTACACTTAAACACAGATAATGTTCTTGGCATCAAGTTTCATAATAGGTCAATTCACTCTAATTGTTATACATACAAAGCTAAACTTGATCTTCTGAGCTTAAATGGTTCTATGTTACACACTTGTTAGATGGAGACAACAAATGCCTATGTAGTATCCTTTTAATGAATGTCCCGTGTTGATTCAAACTTATTGTTTTCAATAGACACCTATCCTTTTTAAAGAATGTTGATGTTATTCCTATAAAAATTGAAATTTTATCGGGTAGTTTCTGCCTTCTGAATTAATACAGTTTATATAGATTATAAATTATCCCTTAAATTAGGTATAATAGTCCATAATGGTAGTGAAATGTACACGGAGTCTATGATGATTTGAGAATTATATAAATTATTAAAGTAGTTAATACTAATATATATTATTAGCATTGATAAAAACATAGTACGCTACTCAAAATTTTCCTCTCCAATGAAAATCTATAAGTCATCCCTAAATATGTTTTTATTAATAAATAACCATGACAACAAAAATCTTACAAACAATTATGCTACCAGCCCAAAAACATATTTCTGTTAAAATCATATATATATAGATACCTACAAAACTTTTAAAAAAACAGAATATGTTGGGTGAAAGGATATTTCTTAGGGCCATTCTTACAATGTCTAGTTAAGTATCAGTTAATGGTAACCTATGGTTATATGTTTCTTACCGAATAATTACCAACAGGAATCTGTTGGTAATGAAATCCAACAGTTAGCGTTCACTTAACCTAATGGAGACTAATCATTTTAACGGAGTTAGTTAGAACTGACATCGGTTAAATATTAGACTAACTGCCGGTTAGCATGTTAGCATTAACAGACACTTAAACGGCCATTGTAAACATAAGTGTCTAAAAATATGGTCTAGTTATCAATGCATTATTAAATAATGAAATAGGAGAAAGCATACTTTTTTAATCAAACTGTACAATATTAACCCTTTTTGCAAGGTAATAACATAATATGTATATTGAAGCAAATACGAGTACTTACCTATGTTGCTATAAAATATTTAAAATGAAATTAAATTGAATGGTATAAAAATAAAAATGTTTTACATTCTTAGAAATGTGTTTTTTGTTCATATAGCTTGGTAAACTACTTATTGTAACTGAGCATGTTTTAAATATTGTGTAAACCGCACTAAACTTTTCTAGCTAAATCATTTAAAAAGTGTTACTAAGAATTAGAACTGTTATATATAGGTACTTTACGAAAGTCTATAATACATGAACACACTTTTATCAATCAATTATGTAAAATGACAAGAACTCCTAGTGCCTATCACCAAACACAACAAAACTGTTTTGGTAGTAGCATTAATTTATTATTCGCTTGTGTGTTAAAAAAAAAATCCCAATAGAAGTGATGGATGAGTTGGAAAATTTTGTTAGAAATAATATTAATAATTCTAGAAAAGAATGCTTAAGTTGTTTATTTATAAAACATTATAGTGATATCTATTAGGTATTTATTATGATTAATATTACTAGAAATATCCATTTTTTTAAACTCAAGTTTCGTTAACAGATAATTAGATCCTCAAAAATTAATGACCCAATATCTATAATTATGATTAATCATGTTTACATTAATTTTATAATCTTTTGATTAGTAGTCACCATAAAATTAATTATTATCTAATAAACCTATTTTGATTTTATAGATACATAAAACATTCAAAATAACGTCAATCAAGAAAAGAAAAATGGAAAACGGACTCACCCACAAGTTTAAAGTTGCGGATTTATCTCTTGCTGAATGGGGCCGCAAAGAAATTATTTTAGCTGAAAAAGAAATGCCTGGTTTAATGTCTTTACGTAAAAAATATGGTCCAATCAAAATTCTCAAGGGTGCCCGTATAGCTGGTTGTCTTCATATGACTATTCAAACGGCTGTCCTCATTGAAACTCTAATTGAACTAGGGGCTGAAGTACAATGGTCTAGCTGTAACATATTTAGTACTCAAGATCATGCAGCTGCAGCAATTGCAAAAGCTGGAATCCCTGTGTTTGCCTGGAAAGGCGAAACTGAAGAAGAATACACATGGTGCATTGAACAAACTTTGGTGTTTGCTGATGGCAATCCTTTAAATATGATTTTGGATGATGGTGGAGATTTGACTACACTGGTACATGATAAATACCCCCAGTTTTTGGATGGCATCAAAGGAGTATCTGAAGAGACAACTACTGGTGTTCACAACCTATACAAAATGAAAAAACAAGGTGTTTTAAAAATGGCGGCTATTAATGTAAACGATTCAGTTACAAAAAGTAAATTCGATAACTTGTATGGTTGCCGTGAGTCCCTTATTGACGGTGTGAAACGTGCAACAGATATTATGATAGCAGGAAAAGTCTGTGTTGTTGCTGGTTTTGGTGATGTTGGCAAAGGATGTGCAATGTCATTGCAAGCTTTTGGCGGTCGTGTTATTGTCACTGAAATTGACCCAATTAATGCGCTTCAAGCATCTATTGCTGGTTTTGAAGTAACCACTATGGAAGAAGTCTGTTCGAAGGGACAAATATATGTGACGACAACAGGTTGCAAAGGAATTATTACTGGTGAACACTTCCCACATATGCCAGATGATGCTATAGTTTGCAATATTGGTCATTTTGATTGTGAGATTGAAGTGACATGGTTGGAAAAGAATGCTGTTGATAAGGTAAACATCAAACCCCAAGTAGACCGATACACTCTGGCCAATGGCAGACACATTATTCTTTTGGCTGAAGGAAGGTTGGTGAATTTAGGTTGTGCTACTGGACATTCATCATTCGTTATGAGCACATCGTTTACTAATCAAGTCTTAGCACAAATTGAATTATTTACTAAAACAGAACAATACAAACATGATGTATATGTATTACCTAAGAAATTAGATGAAGAAGTAGCAGCTCTGCATTTGGACCACTTGGGTGTCAAGTTGACTAAGCTCACTCCTGACCAATCTAAGTATCTTGGAATACCAGTTGACGGGCCCTACAAACCTGATAATTACAGATACTAAAATTAAATTAAGAAATAAACTAAAACTTAACAGATGCATGTTAATTCAACTTATCAAAAATACATAATTATAAATAAAAAAAAATATTTACAGTTTTGTTTGATTAGATTACCTCTAAATATCTTTTAGTACAGAACCAATAATAATATAACCAATTTTATGGTCCTCTTTGACTTTGGTGTATCCATTTATACCCAATGAAGTTTTCCAAAAAAAGGTCATATGGTGTATTTCCCCAACCAATCAATTTAATTGCATGCTCGTCTATAAGTCTTCCTTTTTTTGTGAGTATATTTTACTTTACAAAGAATTTTATGTTTATCGAATTCAAGAATAAATACATTCATAATAATCTTATATTATAAGTTGATTAATAATTAGGCCTGTATAGAACCACTGAGCTGTGGTGCTTAATTATTTACCCTAATTAAATGCATGTATAGATAAGTATGAAAATTAATTTTTATAACCTATTTTAATGGATTTTGTGGTGGTGAAGTTCTAAAATTTGGGGGCCGGTACTTATCTAATCCAGCACTATTGATGACATAATATAGGTGGTACAATTTATATCTACCTATTTAATAAATGTATAAATAATATACGGTAATAAAAAACAAGTGTTGCTATTATTTAAAAATAAACATTTTTATAGTGACATATCTAACTATTATTTGGAAATAAAAAAATAAATTGTATATTCTTAAACTATACTACTGGTTCTTAGAATGTGGATACGGGCCGCAACGCGTTGACATACACTGCGCACACACACTAATGTTCATTTACACTTGCACATATTGCCATGGCACGGTTGTACTTTTTCTACTTTTTCGGTTGCCTAATTCTAACTCCTTAGAAAATGACCGACTGGAACCCCCTTAAAATATTAAATAAACACAGTTACGTTGATAGTTAACTCTTATTATTACTTTTATCTAAAGTTTTCAAAGAAGGGACTCTGCAAGTTAAGTACACTAAAAAAAATGGCTTTAATAATTAAATAATCTAGCACCCCCGTTTTTTTCCAACAGTTCCACCAATGCAGGATGTTATAGGTACCAAAAGGAAACAGTCAATAAACAATAAGTTTTATACTCAATATGACTATATTATAATAGGTAAGTACCTATTACCTATTTATTTACTTATTTGGATAATAAAAGTCATAAAGACTCCACAAATTACTGTGCCTCTACTTTCTGGCTTAAATCGTCTGAAAGTTCTGTGTAAAATTAATTAATACCTCTATACTCGCCGCGGAATAAGAATGTACCTCGTTACGCAGACGGCTACCGGTTTCCCATCCGCAACCTTGTCATAGTTATAACCATAGACCTATTAACTAGTTAATAGGTCTATGGTTATAACTTATAAACATAAAGTTATAGTCATAACTAGGGCTCGGATTTATATGTTAATACATATTTTTACTGTGACTTGATAAATTAATTTAGGTAAGTGATAAATTCGTTTCAAGGGATTTCCATTGTAATGAACTATATTTTATTTTACATATTTTTGCATATTTTGTCATAAGTACATATTTTTACATATATCTCAATAATTCCATTTTTCCCTACATATTTCGACAATTAACGATTTATTAATAGTTGTATACGATTTATACGATTCCCCATGTTTCAAAAAGTACGTAAACAAAGTAATACCAATTATTGAACTAATCGACCGTAATCTACGGTCGATATAATATTATATTCGAAACTTTGAAGTTTGAAAAAATAAAAGATGTTGTATCAACGTTGGATTCTACTTCAGCAGTTTCTATTCAAAAAGCGAAACATTTATTAAATATAGATGATATTAAAAATAATTTAATTTATATATCTGTTAATTTTGGACTTTTAGAAGATACAATAAAACAACTATAAACAAGAAAAATGACTTTAGTTCAAAGTTAAGGACTTATAGAAGAAGCTGAATAATGCATAAAACAAGTATAAGGACCCTTGGGAGTTGCAGTAAAAGAAAAAATGCACAGCGTATTACATAAAAATCCTGGTTTAGACTGTCTAAAATTAGTTAGAGATACACATTGTGAAATGAATGGGGTAATATTTCCGGCTGAACTCACTGCTTTGGACATTGCAAATATGAAATTTGCACCCATTACCTCGATGGAAGTCGAGCGCTCCTTCAGTCGGTACAAATCTGTGTTACGACCAAATCGTAGATCATTTAACTTTGAAATTCGAGCATGTACCTATATGGTATCTCATTGCTTTCAAGACCCAGATAATCAAAATGAATAATGAATAATAGTAGTAAAATAAGTAAATTAGATAATAATGTCATTTATAAAGCAATTTTTTATATTTTTTTGTAATTTTTTTGTATTCCATATTTTCATTTTTTAATCACATATAATGTGATTTATTATTACATATATATTTACATATTTTGGTTTTTTTAATACATATAAATCCGAGCCCTAGTCATAACTATGACCTGCGCGCAGCAAACCTATTTTGGTACGCCACTCGGGTACGTTCTTATTCCTCGGCGAGTATAGGCTCTAACATATTTTCTAAATTTATAACTTTTAGTAAGCGAGGTATACGACAAATTGAATAGCTTAATAATAATTATTAATTATGGTATCAATTCTATTGTAGATTGAGTCTGTTTAATATTTTATCGCTTGGTATTTTATGCATAACATAATTAAATTTTTTTTTACAACCCCTAGTGATAAATGTTATTTAAATTTCTTGAAACTCAAGTTTTGTAATTTTTTTAAATTCAGAATAATAAATAGACCAACCCTTGTAGAAACTTGAGAATATAATAAAAGATTTGACGCGTTTGTAGTTTGCTTATACTAATAATATTGTGTTCTTTATACGTAGGTAATCTTCAACTATTCTGACTTCTATACAAATATTTCTAACAATACAGCATGATTTAAGATAGTATTATTATCTTAAATCTTGCCATACAGGTATTTTAATAATATGTATTTTGTACTGCATAATCTAGACACGCGGTAGCGTGTCAAGCCAAGTTCTAGCTAACAGAACTGGCGAGCAGCACCGTGTGTAATATTACACGAACCATTTGGAGCCACTTTTGACCCCTTCATAACTCAAAAACTATTCCACATAAACATGTCAAATTTGGCTCATATATTGAGACTAACGAGATACATATGTGCTCTAAATTTCATAAACACACTTCAAACCGTTATTTAGATATTAACATCCGAAAATCGTCATTTTTATCACTGACTTACCTATAGATCAAAATTCTAACCCAGTTCCAGATGACCTAGATAGTTCAAATTTGGCATACAGATAGGTAGTTAGGTAAATACAAAGGAAAAAATCAGAAACTTGAAAATTTTTAATTTAAAATTTTTTAATTTTTAATTTTAATTTTTTTAGTTTTTAATTTTTTAATCAATTGATTTTATTATAATTTTGCAATTATTTTATCTATTATGTTTAATTTTTCAATTTATTAATGAATTGCCTCTAATTTAATGTAATGTTGACTTAAATAACCTTTCCCGTATCGCCGCTCCAAAAATACGACTAGCCAAATATGTGTCGATATTGTCGACCCGCGCGCAGCAACATACTTTTTTTCTATCTATGTATGTAATTAATATTATTTTTTTTAAATATTACAATTAAAATAATTAAATAATTATTCTTACAAATTATGAATTATCCACCCAACAGTAGAAACTACAGTCAATAAAATTATGATAATTAAAAATATACTCAAAAGAGTTAAAATAATTGTATATTAATTTTACATATATTTTATACTCTGTATATACAACGGAAAATATTTTATAATAAATATTATTATTAATATTAGTAACTGAATTATATTATATAGTAATAAACTTTATTTATAGAATACGTCATGGCTAGGTTAGGTTAGGTTACAATAATTTAAATACAAAAAGTAATGATATCCCACCAAAAACATATATGTAAAATGAGAGCCAAGTTCAATACTATAATATATGCCTTGGTTGTTGACTTCAGCGACAAAAGAAGTGAGATCTAAATGGGTGCCAAGTTAGGATAATATATTGAAGCCTAAGGTCTGACTTGGCTACGAATTATATATTATAGCATTTGCAAGTTCTAAAGCTTTGAGTTCTTATTTTATTCTTCGGAAAATCATCTTCACTCTTCCATTACTGTTTTAGTAGGTACTTATAATAATTCGTATATGAAAAGTAGCCAAGTCACACCTTAGGCTTCAATATACTATCCTAACTTGGCACCCATTTAGATCTCACTTCTTTTGTCGCTGAAGTCAACAACCAAGGCATATATTATAGTATTGAACTTGGCTCTCATTTTACATATATGTTTTTGGTGGGATATAATATATAAGTGAAAACTGATTAGTATCGTGTATAGTGCGTATATACTTATATTTTCCTATAGGTTCCCAATACCATTGATTAAATATACTGTACCTATATTTAATCAATGTCAATACTCATTTACATGACAGCTCACAGATTATAATAATAGTTGAACAATAGCTGCCTAAACAGTAAACACAATGTAAAAATGTCACGATTTGTATTTTTTTAAATAGCTTCTATAAGCACTTGGTATCCAATACCAGTGACGGCACTACGTATTTTTGGTGGGGCCCTTGATGATTATGGACTATACCTATTACCTAGTACCTACACTTGATATTTTGTTTTATATAATACCTGACAATCTTAGGCGCGTGTCAGATACCAATATTACCAGTTAGTGATATATTTTATTATTCCTAATTGACAATAGTTATTTAAATAGACACAATTTATTTTAAATTCTGAGCGGAATGAAAGAATGTATTGATTTTACAAATTAGTAATTAAAATGATCATGATGTGTCTGTCAACATCATTTTGGATAGGTAACAATGCTCCAATTTTCAAGATCAGCATCTTTTCTGATGGAAAAGTGAATCTAGTTGCTAGATTTCAAGTAATTTTTAGAAAGAGTCTAAAAGTGAAAGTTTTACGTAAAACCAATTTTTGAAAAAATCCATTTTTATTTTTTGTTTTACTACCTAACTCAAAAATTAATAACCATACGAACTTGAAATTTTTACCAAATATTTATATTCACATTTTTTATAAATGCTAATATTTTCGAAATATTTTGACTTTTTTTGAGCTAGTTGTAGCCTTGAACATTTTTTCGAATTTCGTAAATTCTTTTTAAACTATTCTCAACAAAAAACTTTTTTACTTGGTAAAAAAGCTTGAAAATGTAATCCCTTGTAGTTCCTTATAAATTTCATTAATGAAAGTTCAAAGATACGTAGGCCCAATTAATTTTTATATGCATGGTCCCATGCCCCCATAGGTCCATAACCCTGATTTAATGACATCTTTATGATGAATTGTTAAAATGGTTAATATAAATTGGTTATTAATTGTAATATAAAATAATTAATTGTTTAGATAAATATAACATTTAATGAATTAGGTAGCACTAAATTTTATTGATACATCAGTTTCATTTTTGGATCGGGAAAACTAGTGGTTTTACAATGTGTTTATTATTTTTATTTTTTTTATATCCTGTATACAAAATTTCTACCAGAACGGTTGCTTTTATTTCAACATATAGTAAGTACCTATCTTATCTTTTAGAAAATTGAATCAAGATGGCAGGTACTTATAGAAGTTATTTTTCGATTTTCTCAAAGGTTATTTAATGCCACGGGAAAAATTACCGACAAATGACGAAAAACCGCTAAAACGGGATTTTAAATTCTAACGCTTCGCTTATCTCCATAGAAACGAATAAAAAATTGTGATGAGTTGAAGATAACCTATTCAACTTACAGACTATAATAAATAATAACAATATATGATAACCAAAATAATCAGAATCGTTTTTTGTATAGAATGATATTAATATATCATTGAATTCAAATTTAATATAATCCATTATACGTAGTGACCGGGTCAGTGGTCAGTGGCGGGCGGAGACTGGGGATTGGGGCTTACGGAGACTTAGCCCCCCAAAATACTGTCAAGCTCCCTCCTTTATTAACTGTGTGGGATCGAAGCCCACCACTCACATTAATGTTAATAATATAACCTCACCCTGAAATGTTAATGGATTTCCGCCTAGGACTATGAGTGACCACTTGTAACCTACTATACAGCAGAGCGACATCCACTTATACCCGATTTTTAGCTTTAGAATTACAAATAATGTAGGTACTTATATCTATATTGCTTTTCTAAAAAATTATTAAAGGGACTCCGGTCGATGAAAAAAAAGTGACTTTTAGACCAAAAAGCCAGACAAAATTGGAGGAATTTGGTTTGACGGTTATTTAATTTTGAAAACGGATTATAAATGATTAACAAGTTTACTAGATTTTACCATAGTCAATATTTAATATTCCAATTATTGTTAGTGTCATAATTCATAAATAATAATGAATAATATAATTACAAACATATCATATTTTTAAACCATTAGCCATTAGGATATCACAGCTGAAATATTATGTTCATTTACTTCTCACACAGCCAAAATGTACATGTAATATTAAATGCCTAAAAACTACTCCTTAAAATATAGTATGCTACAGCCCCCTTAACGAAATTTTTAATTAATAATAATATCATTAATCATTATAATATTATACTCTATTCAGAATAAAACGACACGTTTTGCTACGTAAATCTGGTGTGCTTTTATTCTGAATAGACTATAGTGGCCAAAATAAACGTATTAATAGACGCTTGATTAGTCTTACGCGTTCTTACCACACATAATATATAAAAATGTATAAAATATATTTTTATATATCCGTGGTTCTTACCCATTATTAAAGTGCGACAGACGAACGTTTTTTAAGTATTATAAGTATTTACTATATTGGGCATAATCATGGTCATAAAGTTAAAATTATAAATTAACAGAAAAGGAATTTTCATACTATATTTTTGATTTGAAAAATCCAAATTATTAAAATGATCAAGTGGTGCATTTGAAAATATTTAATTACTGCAATGAGATTTGGGCGTATAAACTACAACTGAAACACAACTATTTTATTCTATATCATCACAATGAGTTATGTTAAGTAGTAGGCATGAACATTATTAATTTACTAGACAGTATTACAGTATACTTTATAACATTTCAACATTTTACCTATAAAAATAGATTGTGGCATACTATAGTATAGATCTCAATAATGATTTATTTGAGTATAAGTATACTGTACACGTATTTAATTTATTCTGTGGTATAACTGTATAAGCCCCATAAGCAGTGCCGCATTTAGACATTTTGCACCCCGGTGCACAAAAAAATATTGGCACCCCCTAAGGCGCCTACCCACGGAAAATATGGGAGATAGATCCTCATTAACCTTTTAGATTTTGAGCACAGAAAAGAATATTTGTTTTACAATGAGTGCTTTTTTAAAAATATGGTTTATAATTGCTTGATCCTCTCTCTGCAAAGATACATTTAAATTTATGTTACTTAAACCTTCCTTATAATTCATCATATAAGTCGGTTTTTTTTTAACATATTTAAGTAGGTACTTCATGAATAAATAAAATAAAATTATATACCTAAAACAAATTAATATTAATTAAAAAAAATTCAAACAGCACAATACTATCTATATAATATATTATATAATACTTTTATACAAAATTATATTATATAAATATATATTACTGTTATTAAACTAATTAAAATTATAAAATTTTAATAACTCACAAGTAAACAAATTTCTGACCACAACATTTTGGAGCCCCTAAAATACTGGCGCCCGGGGCAGTTGTACACAGCGCCTCCCCCCCCTAAATGCGGCCCTGCCCATAAGGTATATCTTTATTAAACAATAAATATACACTTTACACAATATAATTGAATTATTGTTAATTTTGATGTTCCAAAATGTAATTAACAACATTTTGTTTTGATATTTAATTAATATATTATGTAAATTTTGCTTGGAAGTTGGAATACATACATAACATTTAAAATTAATATTTATTTCTTCTCTAATAACTCAAATTTTCAAGTGATACTATATTATTATAATATGATCATTGAACATACATAACTTTTAATTTATAATAAACTTAACAGCATAATACACTACAGCTAATAGTATTTGTCAAAAATAATTTTCTAACTACACACATAATGTATAAGTATAACTTATTAAATTTTAATAACCATACAAATTTGTACAATCATTATTTTTGGTGTATAGTTTTGTACACATTATTATTTAACAGTTTATCGTTTCTATTGGAAGGATAGTTTAGAGGACAATGGAAGAAATTTGAAATCACATTTGGTTTGCATTGACTGTATAATTTTTATTATGGTTATTAATTGGGTTCTCCCTCAATTTCAAACTATAGAATAATATTTTTATTTAAAACTTGAATTATCAAATTGATATGGTTTTATTTAAACAATAAAAAAAATTCCTAATCTAAAATAGCTAACACTTATTTTATGTTAAGTAGTAGATGTCAGATATTTGTATATATTAAAAATATTTGGAAAACGATTAGTTACTTTAACAACAAATTAATTGGTTACATTAAATACATTTTTTTAATATTTATAATCTCGTTCAAACAATAAACTAGACAGTATTGTACTGATAAACACAATTATCTAAAAAACAGTCTAAACGTAGTTAACAAACGTTATTATAATAGTTTCAATATTGGTAAATAATTTGTCGAGGATATAAGTAATATCTACTTTACACTTGATGACTAGAGTGTTTACTAATGTATAAACTATAATAGTTATTAATTAGGTGAATTTTTTTTTTCAATTTAAATGTACCTATTCATTATTATTAATAATATATTTGCACACTCTTCGGATAAAAATAACAAGAGTTTCAGTAAAACATATAATCAGTAAAGTGTTTATTTAAGCCAACAGTGTATCCGCTTCAAGTCCTTCCTCAACTGTTATGTACATACCTTCCTCTTCATACGCACTATCGTGTTTAGCGAGTATACGTAAGAGTGGTCTCAATTTCAACCACCACTGAGTCTTAGCTATACGCTGCCTGTAAATAAAACAATTTATCAATTAAAAACTATGTAATTTTAAATTTGTATTCAATATAAATAATTTAACATTCAAACAACCCTAGAAACATCCTAGATTAATATTATTATTCTGTATTCTCAATTCAAAATTTCATGGTTTAAAATTTAAATGTCAGTTAGGATGACCTTTTTAAACTATTTCCATTATAGTGGTCACTAGCTACTAATATAAAAATTTACATTATTCCCACTTTCTGAAATGTCCACTCAATATTATAACAAACTAGCTGATCCCGTGCACTTCGTTTCCCGTTCAATGTACCAACTCTATATGCCTCAAACTGTGTTCAATTCGTTATTTATAATATTCGGTGTATGGTGTTCAAAATGTATCTTAACTTTTTCGTTGGCCGGAATAAAAATTCTAATTTGCAGCAGTATATTATCAGGTAGGCAATCTACCTGCGGTAGATCGCGGACCCCGTGCTGTTTGTACGTAACTGTATGATTTAACTCTTATGTATTAAAGTTATAGCAAATTTGTCGTGTTCCACCTATAATGGATTAATATAATCTATTAATACAAAATCCTAACCTAACCTAACCGTTTAATATCAGATGAATAAAAAAAACCAAATTTAACCGTTTTAAAATAGCCTGTCTTCTTCCCAGAGGTTTATTCTATACATAAACATTCATTTATATGTATATATATTTATAAAAAATAATACAAATCAACAAACATGCCCGATTAACCAATAGCAACCAATATATATACACTGTTTACCTCTACTGTTGTATTCTTTACATCCAGATTTCCTAATTTTCTGATGGATTTTCTTAAAATTTTCTTTCGTAAAAACCTTCTCCTGGTAATTACGAACATCTTAAAAAAAAATTGAGCCAAATCGGACCAGCCGTTCTCGATTGATGAGGTAACGACATTTTTCACTCTCCATCTTTATATATATAGATAACTAATTATTGACTAACATTATCGGACTTTATTTATGCCTAAAACCTGCTCCGTGATATCCTCTTTCATTAAAAAAAATGCATGACAATTGGATAAGAAGTTTCGAAGCCAAACCGTAACAAAGATTTCCTCTTTTGCTTGATTTAAGTTTTATATATATATATAGATGTGCTATCTCAATGACGTATATTTGAATGGTGATTTGTTGAAAAGGATCCAAGTTACATTTTTGACAAAAATAGTTTTGTTGTACATTATTCATCCTCTTATGTAAACAAATATCATATGCTTATAATTTGTAAATCAAAGACTGATTCAATAAAATTAGGTACATAAGTTTTTCTTTATTTTTAATTTTAATAAAAAAATATTGTTTTTTTAAGATTGTTATTCATTTGTTTATATTCAAAGTTTGTTATTTAGTTGTATTGTTATCTATTTAATTGGATAAAATAAATAAGAAGATATTATATTATTTTAAAATGTGACTATTAATGTGTCTTGCATTACGTGCAGTGGCGGATTTAGCGTCAGGCAAAGTAGGCAGTTGCCTAGGGCGGCAAATTTTTAGGGGCGGCAATTTTAGGCCAATATTTTATTGAGAATACTCTAAGTGTCTTTTTGATTTTCTAATGTACAGTGATTACTCTGAAGGATGGATAAAAAAATGTTTAATATTTAAGTATAATAATATTCTTGTTAATATAATTTCTTCTTTATTTTATAATACATAACAATAAACGTCCAAGTAAATTATCGAACAACTGCCGGAACGTAAATCTATTATCTAAATACTAAACATGGATAACATATTTCGTTAATTTGTTTTTTTGCTAAGTCGTAATAATTATTAATAATCGCTCGTGGTTCGTTTGATCGCACGGCGTACACAGTCTACACACACTACATACAGATATTATGATATATTTAATACGAATACAGGTGACGATCGATTCGCATTGGAACGATAGTCTAATTATAAACCAGTCACTGAATATTTTTATATAATATACTCGTAGTTCGTACGTACTATGCATTATGTGTACAAAAATAAAACTTTTTCTATCCAAAAGATAAAATTATGTAATAATTGTTTATTTTTCTTCGGGACTGTGAAATAGAGGGTGGCCGAGTAAAAAATAGGTTTATTCTGATTAGACATTCGATTATTTTCAACACAACATTCAAGGCGGATAGACTTCATATTCGGTTATTAGTATACTAGGTACTTAAATTACTGGTAAGTAAACACTATATTTTATAAACACATTTTATTAGAACAGTTTATTAACATAACTGCCATTAGTTATTGTTTAATATCAGTCTTTATGATTTATTTTTTTAGTACTTATGTTAAGTAAGTATTTAAAAATACGTTTTTTCGTTGATAAGTTTAATGGGGCGGCAAAAAAAAATTTGCCTAGGGGCGGCAATTGTGTAAATCCGTCTCTGATTACGTGTACGCCGTCCAATGTTTGTTCTTCTCATAGGAGGCATGATTCAAGCATAAAAATTCTCTCCAAAAAACAATAGTCGTTTTTGATTGAAAAAGTTCATAGATAACATAAAACGATAATGTTTCAAAGTAAAATGAATAATGTGCCAACTATTATATTTGTTTACTCTAAAGTTATAAGTGTCTATAATAAAAAATGTATATCAACCAGAATATAAAAATATATTTTTTTTTTCGATTTTTATTATTATTTATATTTTATTTTTATTTTTATCCGCTAGAGGGCTAGTGTAACTCAGTTTTTGTCTCTAAATCTCTAACTAACATGAATTAGGTCCATAATTTATGCTATAAACCCGCTCACCGACATTCTCTATCATTTAAAAAAAATTTGAGCAAAATCGACCAAGCCGTTCTCAACTGATGCTATTTCTAATTTTTTGTCTCCATTTTTATATATAAAGAAGATTATTTATTTATTTAATTGGGATATATTTTATAGACATGGGAATTTAAAAAATGAAAATGTCTTCTTCCAACCACCTATTTTCATAAATTAAAATCATCTGTGATCATTTTAAATGAAATATCTATATTGCTGAAATAAAATATGAATTAAAATAATTTCCTTACTCAAAATTAGTAAGAGGCAACAAATCGGTTAAAGGCGTGAAACAATACTGCCGTCTTATTACACCCATCATTGCTGCTGTATCTGGATTATCTGTATAAATTGTTCCGTCTGGTTTAGTAGATTCTCTCAATTTTTCAACTAACCATTCCACACATTTTGCTGCTTGCTTTGTACCCATATTACGATCAAATGGAGTAGGTGAACCACCTTGTTGCATATGACCTAGAAACATAAGTTTATAATAATGAACAATTTACTATTTTACTATCAAATTACAAATCAACTATCACGTTACTTTTTGTTTCTAACTATTTCATTAGATTAGGCAATTTAACATACTATACATAAAAGCTTTACCTAAAACATTCATACGAGTACTGAATAATCCTTTCCCTTCTTCAGTGTAAAGTCTGAATATAAAGTCAGTGTTGTAGTTCTCACTACATTTTTCATTCCTAAAAGTAAAAACACAATTTTTAGACTTGTAAGATACTAATGTTATGTTTTTGGTTTTATTTAGAAATTAACCTTAATATCAAACCACGTTGAACACCTTCTGCCATCTTTGAAGCCATATGATAAACATCGTTTTGCAAATCTTTTATAGTAAATTTCTCTTCGTATATATAAGCTGCATCAGCACCACCAGCCAGACCAGCAACAGTAGCTAAATATCCACAGTAACCACCCATAGTTTCAATAATGAATACTCGCCGCTTAGTACCTTGAGCGGACTGTCTAATTCTATCACAAATCTATAATAAAAAATTTTAACCACATATAGGCCATACAAATGTATAAAAGGCAATAATAAATTAAAAGTAATTCTGATACAAATGTGTAATAAAATTACAAACCTCCGTGATTTCATTTAGAGCAGTATCGCAACCTAACGAAAATTCTGTACCAGGCACGTTGTTACTAATGGTTGATGGAATTATAACCATTGGTATGCAGAATTCCGGGAAATTTTTACGGTTCTGAACCAACTGAATTCCAGCTTGGTACGCCTAAAATAATTAAGTTAATTTAAATGTCAAACATTTTACTAATATATAGAGAATGTTACCAACCTCAAAGCCTCCAATTATCAATAGTGCTTGGATGTTGAACTCTTTGAGCCTTGCAGCAATTTCCGGCATTCTTTTTTCTGGAAGAGTACGCTTTGTTCCCAAAATAGCACCGCCTTGGCCGACCCAGCCAGTGACGTCGGACCACTGCATTACTTGAATCTAAGGAACCAAAGAGTTATTTAACATGATAGGTAACCTTAAATTACATAATAATATACTTACATTTCCAGCAACTAAACCTTCCACACCGTCATGAATGCCATAAACAGTGTCCCCTCTGTAGATGCAATTCCGTACAAATGAACGAACGGCAGAATTCATACCACATGCGGGAGCTCCAATGTGCATTACAGCAAGAGTATAACCTTCCTATAATTGTCAATGACTTGAAATTATTAATATGCCATTATTGAGTTTCATTTATAAAATTATAACCTCTGTATATATAATCTCTGTAGAAAAAGAATCTGCATTACAATATAACATAAGCCCAATCAAAAACACACTCAAATAAATAGTTAACACTAATACAACTGTTATACCTATTCTATTTTAAATACTATATCTACTATAATTTGATAAAATTTTTAAATAATATTATTGTATTTGTCATTCATTTTTAATTTCAAATCACGCATTATAAGCGTTATGAAGCTTAAAAATTGAAATACTCCAAAAATACTATTACTCCACCATAAGTCATCTTACCTGACCCCACAGCGTGTCTTGCTGTTATAAAAACAATAATTTTAATGTGATTTTTTTTTGTATTTGTTTGGTATTTGCAATAATAATATATTGCACAACAAATTGGAAAATCAATTTACTTACTCGATTTAGACTCTAAGGGATTCATGGAAAAAACATCAAACAATATCGTTTAAATTAATAAAAAGAAATACGGGAATATCATTGAGAAAAATAAATATTCTAATTAAATTATCAACTTACCAATCCACGTCCCAATTCATCGAATGCCGAACGCGGTGGCTTCAAACGTGTCAACATTTTGTATGTTTCCAAGTTTCTCGCAAAACTCCTGCAAACAAAAATTAAGCTTTTAATGAATAATTGATTTATTGGACAATTATCTGGTATTCTTAACACATTATGAGAAGTGAACCTATGAAAAATTAGTACTGTTTAGAGGAATGTTCATAGGTATCTATTATTACATACAATTAAGATTCTGAGCGAAGGGATAATGTATAGGTTATACAATGATATTGTGTTATATTTTTTTTTTTTTATAGGAAATTTTATCTTGTTTCTATTTGGGGGGTAATCACAAGTAAACATTCCTAGTACTTTTTAAAATAATTTAAATCGGGAAAAATAAAAACCGACATGTATACTGTTAGGTATAACCACTTTGCTGTACAGTAGGTGACAGGTGTCAAATGTACATTGTCATTGAGTAAATCACTGAAATGGATGAGTTGAATTTAAATTTAATGATAAATCATTGTATATTTGTTGATATACAATGAAATACAATTCTGAGCGGAAACAGTTTAATTTTTTGGTAACCAATATTACAAAACAGTTATTTTAATAATAATATTACAATTTATAAAACTAAAACAATTTTGGTAATTTTTTAGATTCTGAGCGATGAATCATGAATGTATTGATTTTACAATGATCTGTGGTTTTTTTTTGTGTCTGTCATCAGTGTTTGGGGCAGTAACACTGCTTTGATTTTCTTCAACGGAATCTTGTGTTCTTGTTCGATGGGAAAGTAAGTCTAGTTAGAGCATTCGGGAGATCAACATTTAAAATTCCCAATAGTTATCAAAAGAGCGGGGAAAAAGAACATAAAAATTAAGGAAAAACGAGAATATTTCTATGAATGTCAATATAATTTTATTTGTTGGGTAAATAAGCTTGACAATTTAATAGAGGGCTACTAGAAAAATTTTTTTTAGTAGTTAAAAAATATTAAAAATACATGGGCACAATTTTTTTTTTAAGCATTTAAAGTTCGAATTTTAATAAAATTTAATTATTGTTTTGCAGTAAACAATTTTTAAAATATTCAACTTTTATAGCTAAGGATTGAAAATTTAAAACGAGGTTCCAGTTAAATAGGTTATATAGAAATTACATTACTCACAATAATATTATCAAATATACTTGGTAATATCATTGGCTGACGATCGTCTTCGGCCCTCGCTCAGAATCGTTTTTCTTGTACAATGATATTATATCATTGAATTCAAATTTAACACCATAAAAAACAGAGACCCACTTGTCATCTACTGTACAGCAGAGCGACATCCACTTTCCCACTTTTTTTTCAATTATTTTAATATTTGAGTATTGGAAAATTTCTACTTTTGATAAAAAGTTCAAACTAGATCCCATTTTTTACCAAAAACTTCCTTTGTAATTGACGACTGGAAAAAACTACTAGGAAAAAAACATCGGATACACCCAACAAAATTTGTTGCTGTAAAACCAATACATTATAGTTCCACTCAGAATTTATTTGGTGACCTACTCAGTGAAGAGGTACACTCGACACCTAACGTACAGCTGAGCAATTACCTACTTGAAAATTGTTTTTATTTTTTATTTATTTAGCACTGTGAATTGCGATATTATTATATGAACAATCCCGTTAAACAGACAATCAACCGAGAAGCCAATAATTTAATTTTTTTTTTTTTTATTAAATGACAATATTTACTCGCGTTATTTCTAGTGTGTACTTAATAATTATTATACAAATTGTCTATACATCGATACAACAAGAACGACAGTTATTTACTTTTCTAATACCGTTAAGCAGGTTTACAGAAAGGTACTTGTGGTATTTTGAGCACCTACTTGTTTACTTATCGTCAAAGATTAAAGATTAAAACAAATTAACAATCTTTTGCCACTGTAGTAAATTAGTACTGCATTTGATGTTTTTACCTTCCTCTGAGTTGTACGGCCAATTCCCATTCTTTGTCCGCCATCGCTTTGGCCACGGCTTTAGTCTTTTCGACACATTCCATCAGCGGCAGACGGACCGCCTGGTTTCCATCCAATGACACGACACAAGCCTCGGATCCTGGTGTAGCTTCCATCAAGGCCATGACAGCTTCGGCTCCCATTCTGCACCCCTACGACGAAAAAATCACAATAAGGATGAACATAATATAACTTAACCTTAAACAAAACGCGTTATAACGCGCATTAAAGCGGTAAATGGCTCGTCGGCGTGGTGCTTTCACGCGAGTGAATCACGCCGCGTTGTAGCAAATTACAAAATCACGCGACGTGATAATAATGCTTTCTGTTTGACAGAGCCTTTAATGTATATAAATACTACATGAGACATTTCGGATGGTGTGATTCTTGCGATTGATTACCATAATAGTAGACGCATACAACTTTAAATGATCTAATGAGTTTTGCATTTTGATAGTTTGGTAGTTCATTAGAGGGGAGAAGGAAGTCTCGGAAATACTGAATTTAATTAACGGCACGATGACTACATCGTTGTTAAAATTAAAATATGAATTTACAAAAATCACTTTTTGGGGAAATATCCAAAAATTCTAAATTCAAACAACCTAACTTTGGAAGGGTGAAACGCGATAGTCGTCACATTCGAATTCCATATTATATCCTGGGACCTAAGTTAACGAAACGAAAGGTGGCGAACTTCTGAATAATAATTACAACCCATAACTTATACAATCCTGGACATAATTTTTTTTTTATTAGCCTGCCGGTTTTTCAAACTGAACACTACTAATATAAACAATAAGAAACTATTCATGTAGGTTGACCTATGACTATCGTTGACGTAGGTCATCATTATAACCCAAATTCAAATAACGTTGTAATATAAATATCTTATAGAGAAGTATGTTTACCAAAACTCTATCGAAAGCCGATGGGGCGCCTCCTCTCTGGACGTGACCCAAGACCGTAATTCGAGTGTCCTGTTTCAAGTTGTCGACTACCACTTGTTTCACCATCTCGGCAGTGATCGGTTGTCCGTCACGGTCAATGGCACCTTCGGACACGATGATGATGTTTAAACGCTGGCCCGCCGTCCGTTCCTAAATATACATAAATCATATTATATATAACACATTATGAGTATTAATATAATAATTGAAAAACCGGCCAAACGACGCACGTCATATCCCAAAAAGCTCGTTCGCAAAGCTCGAAGATAATAAGATTTTCATCCACCACGGTGCTTATATTTTAAGGCATACACCCACTCACTAGTCACTCATCCATCGATAAGCATATAATATATTATTTATTATATTTTCAAAAATCGAATGGTTTTCACTTTTCGATAACGATAATTTAACAACGTCTATACACATACAAAATGTAGTAATAATTCAAACAATTTCATCACGCAATACAACAACAAAGCGGAAAGATGTACATAAAGCCCCGTGCAAAAACTGACTAAAAGGGTGATGATGAACAGCAGCCAAAGTGATTAATGAGTATATTACATTATATTATTGTAATGAATACTGAAGTCTGTTGAGTCTTGAGTGTAGAACATATTATTATATGACAACACTGTCGTCGCGAGAAAGATTTTTTTACTATTGTCATATGGCTAACGAAAATAAACTCAAACAAATAAGATTTATTAGAATTTCCTTAATCAATATTTGCCTAATTAATTGGACCAAAATTACGTATCTAATAATGAAATAAAAATAAAATTAAATGCACATTATAAGACAGTCTTAGTTATAGCTGATAACTTTAAAATTGAATAAAATAAAAAATTAGCTCAATACATTTTAATACATTTTCGGAATCGATAAAATGAAACTTCACGGTGAGCCATTACAAATACGGGAAATTATGGTAAGTTCCTACACGGGGCCGGGGACATAGCAGATAAAACAATAGGTACAATTAGTAAAAAAAAAATTATTCATTATTTTTTATTTTTGAACTTGAGCCCCGCAATTATGGCTATTAGCTACCTATTGTAGGGATTATGGACTATGGTTGGTAGGGTTGATAAGATAAAGTTGTCCCATCCCAGAACTATAGCGGACGTTATACTTACTCTAGGTCACGTTGCGTGACCGATAACAGCCAACGCGCCGAGCTAAGCCACTTATTTATTTATATAATCATTTGCGTAGTATAATAGCCGTATAGGCCAATTGAATTATTACTAATTACACCATTACACAATATTTTAATTAACAATTAACATTACTTATTCAATTTAATTATTAATTTGTCCTATGGTGAACTTAATATATTATCTTTCTTGATTAACGGTCGTGTGTAAATTTTAAACAAATTCAATGTTTGAGATTCGTCAGTGGTGTATATAGGGGTGGTCACAGTGGGCTTCAGCCCCCCCCCCTCGAAATCACAGTCTTTTTAAATAGAACAACAATATATTTTATTAGGTACTAATGTACTATTATAAGTTATAATATTTCATAGCCTGTTGAAAAATAACAAATACGAATATATTTATGGAAACTGTTAAATATATAGTAGACAGTAGCCTCTAAGTAATAGATCACTTGCTATAGTTTCAATCTATTATAGCCCACCCCAAAAATTATTTCTATATACGCCACTGAGAGTCACAGATAATGGTCAATGTAATACCTTTGTTTTTGTTCGTTAAACAAATTGTATAGATTGTGTATTTATTAGGTAACTAGATTGTCTACAGTAGCTGTCGTTATCGTAATCATGTTATTTTATATGGTTATGGATAGCACCGTCTTCAGAGTTCAGACATGAGAAAACTAATAACAAAGGTAAAAATACGTGAACGAGTGAAAAGAGAAAAACAAATTAAATGCATAAAAATTATAATGTGGTCATTATATTAAAATAATAAATATTAACTCCAGAAATGTAAATATTGTGAAGTTCGTATAATCTTATGACGGTCTTGATCATCATTATAGTGATCTATAACCTTTAGTCTAAATGAAAATAAATAAATGTGTATAAAAAGTTTTAATTAACGGGAATTGTAAGAAATTATCAAAAATAAAAAATCGACCTATAAAGGCTAAAAAAAATGAAAATACAAAAGTATAATTAAACATTGAGTTTGTACTTAATTCAAATTTTGTTTTAAGAAAACAATATGTTTTAGCAAAAGCTAAAAAGAATGAATTTTTCTACAAATTCACAGCCTATAGATAATAGTGAAAATAATGATTTAAACCTATAAATAATATTATTTTATTAATAGAAATATCAAATATAATGGATAAATGAGGAGTGTGAGGAGCAAGGCCTCTCACGACTGTTTTCTCAAAAATTGGTTGGGTGCTTAAACCCCCTTATATTTTTGAGTGATTTGTGCTTATGGCCTATAGTACTTATTGTCAACAATATGATTACCTATTATATTATAAGGTAATTGAAAGTGATAATTGTTTGTCTTTGTTTAACATGTACCTACTACATAGGAATTTGTATTTCCGACGTATTGATCTAGTTAAACGATAAGAATTCAGAAGAACAGATTTTAGATTGCTGTCAAGTTTACTAGAGATTTTCTTTAATACATTTTTCTCAACAAATTTAAATGTGATTTTTTTTAATTTCTACTTTTTTATCATTTAGAGATATAATTCGGGAATGTCGATCTAAAGTAAAATTTGTTATCAGAAATTCTTATTGGTTTGTTATAGATTAAGTAGGTACGTTGGAGATAGAACAAAACATCTAAATTACTAAATTAGTATGTACTACTAACTACTATGTAGCGGGGCTTTGTCTAACACAGATAGAACATCACTCCTTTCAAGTTTCAATCCCTTTAACTATTAGAATTAAGAAAAGATATTAATAAATATAAATTAGTTTTAAAGCAGAAATACTCTTAGTTAGTAAAATATTAATTCTAGACCAGGGATGGCGAACATTTTAGAAATGACACACGAGCCTTATTATTATGTTATAATTTAAGATTTCGAACAATTATATGATGTTTTTTTGTTTAACTTTAAATAAAAATATATATAAATTCACAAAAACTGATCGTTCAACAAGCAGTTTGTTATATGATATATTATGATACAACGTGTAACTATAAGATAAAATATGTAAACATATTTAAAAATATATATTTGTATAACAATTGAATTTTGTACACAGTTAATACACAAGCTGCAACTAAATTATTTAATTTTCGCCATCCTTGTTTTAGAATACAAATTAATGCATGCATATATCGAACACTTAAAATATTTATTACTTTTCCTCGTACAATCATACGCAATATATCTAAAGCCATTCTCTACAGACAAAACGCACCACAATCAATCAAAGTCATTCATACAATTCATTGTTACATAAAATAACTCATGGAATTATTTTGATCAATATCCAATGGTCATTATTCATCATAATAATCATTATAAAATGATTCATAAAAGTTGGGTCAAAATAATTGTCAAATACTATATTAGTTAAATGAACATATCAATTTTATACGACAAAATCTAACATAAATTAGATTTTTAAACAATAGTTTGAATTATTGAAATATGAAAATAATATTTTAAATACTACTCAAGGTAGATTCGGTAGATCAACAAGGAACAACAATCTTATGAATGAAAGTGATTAAGTTGAGTGACGTCAACATTAAAATAAATTATTTACAATAATCACAATGGTTGAGATTTCACAAAAATAATATATTATCATCAGTAGGTATCTATACATTTTTAATCTGAAATTAAATATTTACGGATTTCTCATTTTAACGACAACAAAATAAGGTTAGAGAAAAAATAACTATAATATACTAATATTAAAACCTCAAAAATCGTGAAACTTTCAATCGCAGTTCAAAATAATTTATAATCAAATACTTTCAAAAAATCAAAACATATTTCCTATTATTGTTTTTTAACACTTTATTATGTGAAATGTTTGAAACCAAATTTAATGGAATTATACTGTTATACTGACTAATAATATTAATACGATATAGCTAAAACCCAAGTATAAACATAATATAATAGTTAATAACTTAATGCAATGTATAAGGATAATATATAACACACTGGCGGACTAATACAAGTATACAACTCATGCATCATATTTTTATGCTGTTAAACAGAAGTCGGTCTTGCCTGTAGCAATTTTTTACACATTTTCGTCGCCCAATCTTGGTGAGGCGGCCATTCCGGAATGAACACAAAATCGGCTTCTGCCGCCAATGCCGTAACCAAAGCTAAATACCTGCACATTTTTTTAATATAGCACACTCCCACCATACATTTCTAAATATCCACTAATTCAATAGTATAATAGGACAATAATACTTGTACACATATTATTATACTAGGTATATACATAGATGTATATAAATATATTATACACAAATGAGATATACATAGCGATTTTTTTTTAGGTAAGACACTAATTTTTTGTTAAAGCTTTTACATTATCAGAGAACAATATTATATTATATTATTATCAGAATATTAAATTAAAAATAGCATAAAAAGGACCTAAATAATTAATTGCTAACTGCTATGGTGCTACTAAAAATGAAACGGATATTATAATTTATAATATTATTGTAATTTGCAATAGGTTATTTTTAAAACAAAAAGGGAAAACTAGTGCCTTACGCTAATCAATAATCACCATGTACAGGTAGACGTATGAATATTATAATTGTTATTAATAAATAAATGAAAATTAATACTATATTATTATTATCATTACGGTTTTGCCACTACTGTACACTGCACCCTGCGACATAGCCACAAACAAATCAGACCAGTTTCCTCTATAATATATATATATTCTATAAATATAATGAATTCGCGCGATGAGCATCCTATGACCTTATCTACCAAGGAGGCGAGAACAAAACGTAAAATGTATAATAGTTAAGCGCTAAGACAAATAAAATAAAACACAGGGATAATCATGCTTTAGTAAAATATACATAAATTATAAAATCAAAATGTGCGAGCGGTTGTTAATGGATTTAAAGGTGTGTTGGTAAAGATGTGTCCGAGAAGAAGTTTACAAGATTTTCAGGTTAAGGTATCGATCATGTATTGTTTTTCTTTCTATAATATAGTCCTTGCCTGCTCTAATTTGGTGCAAAGTTTGGTCGGCCAATCACGTGGTGGTGGCATCTCTGGTATAAACACGTAGTCAGCTTCACTAGTGAGGGCTGTGACAAGTGCAAGGTACCTTTATATGCAACAGCGGCGTTATTAAACTTGAAACAAGAACACTTCAATCACTTTTATTTTGTTATAAAAAGAAGAGATAGACCAAGTTTTAATACGGAGAAATATTATTATTTATCATGTAATTTAGTTTAACATTTTTAATAGACAAAAGATTGAAAATCGAAGCCAAGTCAATTACGTATTGTTTCAAATGTAAATATTTGTACAGTATTTTGTATACATTAGTACATAAAGTACATTACTAATATGTATGCCTACTTTTTATCAGTTTAGTAGAATTTACCAATACAGTTCAGTTTATTAATTTGAAAAACAATTACCTACTAAAACACTAAAATGTAGGTACTAATTAAAAATAATGTATTATTCGTAAAATTAGTAAAATGTTCTAGTCCCATTCATAATAATATGATCTTTTAAATTAATACTTAGTAACTAGGTAACTCAAATTATAATATATAAACCACTTAACAATAAACAACATATTCCATAATAAACTTTTATTACCTTTAATTATTATTGGAATACAATAATTGACTCGGCTATAATTTTATTTTCCTAATATATTTATAAGGTTTAAAAATCTAAAGAACAAAATAAACCCGTTTTAGGTGATTCTATGACTGTTCAAGTTATTTATCAGGTTATCATATACCCTACACTGTGATTAAAAACCTGGTATCGTAACATATAATAGATAGAACTATTAACTAATACAAAATAATTCTGTCATATTTAAAAATTAAAATGTTTTCTGAATATCATCAGGTTTAATATGATTTATTTTAAATAAATTAAAATTTTTTTTTTGATATTATTGTATAACCTTCACATTTTACAAGAAAATTAATTAAGTTATTACAAACATAAATTTAACTATTCAAATCTAAAAACATTAAACTAGACATATTAATAGACTTATAGGGTAACCTAATAAAAATTTATACTTAATGGCTAATGCACACATATCAATCTTTAAAATTACTACCTGCTTATTGAATTTTAAGAACTTTAAAAGTATTATTTTTAATTTGTTAAATAAAATAAAAAATATTATATTATTATTATTAATAATGAATCAGAATAACTCAAATGTATTTAAAAAATATTCTCAAATAATACTTGAAATATAAAATATAGAATATTATTTAAAATAAAATACAATAGCTCGACAAATTAGACAAATAATGTAAACATAATTCAAGTTAAATATTACATTATCTAACATAAGTATTTACATAAACGATACACAGTTATTAAAACAGGGATCAAAAGATATGTGTTACTAAGGGTAAATAAATAAATTAAATTTTGGCTCCTAAAAAATGTCTAAATTATGAAATTAATCATTTGTCTGAATAGTTATTATTTAAATTATTTAAAACATAATAAATCAATGGTTATAATTATTACAAATAAAAATCAAGTCTAAAATCTTACAGCACAATATTTTGATTAACAGCTATTTATAGAATAGCCTGAAGCAATTTTATAAAAAAAATAAACCAATCTACTAAAAATTATAAAATAAATAAATTGAAAGTCCTCTTTACTAAGATAAAAATAATACTTCTATCAACCTAATTAAAACAAAATGCAAAACTATAATAATATAATGTTTTCAATCTATTTTATTGCTTGCTTATTATAACATATAAATATATAATTATTGTATCAATTATTTATGTTAAATTAAAAAAATATACATTGATAACATTGCATTTAATTTCAACCTTAAGCAAATGTTATACGATGACTGGACATTTTTAAATAGGTTTATATAAATAAATGAGCCACAAAAATGACCAGATATCACAATAAGCTAATTATTTTGGTCAATAATTATCATTTGCAATGATCAATAAATCACCCACCTAAGAGATTGCAAGCCTAAGAATCTAAGATAAAAATAAAATATTATAAAAATGTAATGAACACTGAGTGGTTATGCTACTTTTTTTTAAACAATTTTAAAGCCTAATCAGACACCTCAAAAGGAACTGGGGCAGCGACTTGAAAACTTAATAATATTAAGGTGTCACAAATGTGTGATTTCCTCCTCATGTGTTTACCTATATATCTGTCAACTGTATATAAATTGTTCTTCTTCTTATTATTTTTTTATTGCATATGGCAATGATTATTACTTATTGCACATACTGAATAGATTGTCATTTTTCAAATAGTCAATTCATTAAAAAAAAAAAAAAATTTAAATGAAGAACAACTACAATTTATATAAGCATTTTATAAAATATTTACCAAAATGAGAAATTTCAAAGAATTACATTTCTTTCTAATTAAAGAATATTCAATATTCTTTGAAATTTCTTTGTGGTTACTACTATCTACCAAATCTTATTAAGGTCATAGAATCACCCGATTTCTTGGAGTTTTCTCAATTTTCTTATAAATTAAAATTTTTTAAAACTATATAATAATTAGAATAAACAATCATACCCGCAATGGCGTCCCATTACTTCCATAATAAATGTTCTCTGATGTGAATAGGCTGTTGACACAATAGCGTCAATTGCATCCATTATGCGATGTAATGCGGAATCCGTACCAATTGTCATATCAGTACCACAAAAATCATTATCAATAGATCCAACCATTCCGACAATATTCAACTGTTTATATTTTTCACGTTCTGTCTTATGAATCTGTGAAGTCTGCAATAGCTCATCTAGAAGACTAGACCATTCTTGTCTAAATAGGTTGGCTCCTGTTAGAGAACCATCACCTCCAATTACTACCAAATTTGTAATTCCACGTTTTACCAGGTTGCAAGCAGCTTTTAGCCGCCCGGCACGTTCTTTGAAATCCATACATCGCGCTGAACCAATTACAGTACCACCCTAAATTATAACATATTAAAAACTGTAATTATTAATGAATATGTACATTTATTTGGAGGCTGAACTAGGGGTTATTTGAAGGTCAGAAATAATAGAACTCAGTACGGTAAAGAACATATCAATTAGATCAATACATCAGGCAACATTATAGGTATAATTTAAAAATGTGATTGTTTGCAGTATAGCTTTACATTATTAACCGTAATAATATAGAACTACATTTTAATAAATAAAGATAGGCACATAATAAAAATTAGTCCAACTTATGACTAAATTATGTCACCTTCTTAATACATTTTATTGATTATCAAAGTTGTAATAAAACTTTGCCTTACTTGGTCTACTGAGGTCATGCCATAAGAGTAGCCATAAATGTAGTTATTTTTTATAACAACAAATATACCAATATATGTTTTATAAAATGATCATAAAAAAATCACCATATAAGTAGGTTAAACAAAGGTCAACATTTTATTGAAATTAAAATATTACAAAGCGAGATTCAAAAATTAATTCTGAACAGTGCAAGGAGTATATTAATTTAACAGCAATTAAATGTGTAATATTACAACACAAATTGTTCTATATTAGAGCAGATTATTGTTTTAAAATATATAAATATAAATAATTTGACTTATTTCATATTGTAAAAACTACTATGAGTTAAAAATATGTCAATAATTTATGAGTCAACTAGAATTCCTTGGCCTATTGAATGTAAGAAAATTTATTTCAGACAATTATTGTTTTTATTAAATTGCAATAGTAAATTCTTTTTGGTCCACTTATGTGACTAGCTAATACTAACAACTTCATAAAAATTCAAAACGTGTAGTTCATTTAAAATACACTGCACGAACCAACAATAATACATATTTATGAGAACATAATATTATCTATTGACATTTTTATATTAGTTGTATAAACATATTTAACACAAAAATGAAATAAATTATGTGAATTTCACTCAACACACCTTATGTATTATAGATGACACCGATGACCAATTGGCTTCTTCTATGTTATCCCCGCCATCAACCATTCCTTGATAACCCTCTTTAATGAAAAACACCTTGCAACCAAGGTATATAGCCATACGAACAACTGCACGGACAGCAGCATTCATCCCTGTCAAAATACAAATCATTTTTAGGATTATTTTAAAAACTATAATATAACCTAAATAAGATATAAAATAGTAAATACAAATCAATTAAAGAATTATTGAATATAAGCAAAAATAACATTATTAATATGGGTTTGGGTTTCTGAAAAAATTATATATTTGCTATGTCTAGCCAACACATTTTAGATATAGCCCAAATATTAACATTGATGGTGTTACATTAGATGTGTTCTAAAATAATAACACATTGCTAGATATGTTTGATTTTAACACACAAACTTCTGAATAAAGTTATCTTTTTTTTGATGTTTTCTACATATAATTATAGAAATAATTTTACGACGGACCTGTATATAATACAGCAAATGTGTTTAGAAAAAAAGGAATAAGTGATGAGAATTAATGAAATAGTTATAAGTATGCATATGAAATGATTTAATATACATGTAGGTATTTTTAATTTTTAAATTATACTTCATACCAAATAGGCATAGATAATTGTTGCCGATTTTAGTTGGAGTTTGAAAATGATTAAATAATAAAACTACCTATGTTTTATTAAACAAATATAGAACTAAAATGTATTCCCATAGTGCAGAATTTCTGTTACTAACTTATCAATATTAAATGAGGAAAATAGGACATATTGTACATAATTATAATATTATTCATATATTATTTCAATTTGATTAAAATAAAAGTAGGTAATGATCGGCAATATGATAAAATAGAGTTATACTCTTGAGAATTTGTAATATTAGGTATTTTCAGAAATGTAAGTATATATTTGGAGTCGTATTTTTTAAAGCAACAAATTTAGACTTTTAAAGATTTGCTACTGTTAGCATAATATTGTTTTAAATATTAATTAATTGTTCTTTGTTTAGATTGGTAAAATAATTTCTGTTTGAATAACCAAACTATTTACTATTAACTATTACTATAAAGTTCAATGCTTTAGAACAACTTTACTTTTACTTTTGTATATGACAACTAAATATAATTCTAAAGGACTGCACAATTTAATTGTTGGCTACATCTGAATTAAGCTCTGAAATGTAACTAAATATCTATCAATATAGCACACTAAAATGTATTAGAGAGAAGTAACCAATTATACTATTATCAAGTTTTATTAAATAGGATAAAATAAAATAAAATATGTGAATATAAATACAAGTAAATATATACCAAAATAATAAAATAAAAATGTGTGTTCTAATAATTGTGAATTTTAAAAATATTTGCTAGGTACTTAGTAATTAATATGCAATTAAAATACTAATCAACAGCTTAATTTTAAATGTTATTAAAAATTTTGTAAATTAAGTAGGTTCACTTAATAACTATTCCAATCCTCTAAATAAAAACCAAAAATGCAGGTACAACTATGCCCCAAAACCCAACATTCAGTCTCTGGATATAAATAAATAGCTATTTTCTGGTTTATATACTTCATAATTTGTTAACGAATTAAAAAATTTTGGAAATTATTTAGTAGATACCTTGCGAATCACCACCACTGGTGAAAACAGCAAGTCCTTTTCCTTTGTGCGAACCCCGTTCAATGAATCTCTTTTGATCTTCCTCCATAATGGTGTTCTTAAAAATAGAAATTATGCATAATATAAGTAACAAGTTATTACAAATTTACAAATATATTGAAATAAAAAAAATGCTTACCTGTGTACAAACTAACTAAAACTGATAAAACTGTGAGCTTTTGTGCTCAAGACGAGGACGGTGTTTTTTAAATATATACGTATATATATTAACGTTACTAGTCGATCATGTTCAGCCCTGGCAATTGGCGACGAACGGTAACGTATTGACAGTAGTACGTCCCGCTATCAATTGAGCAACCGCGAGTGTCTGCTGTAGAGCTCTATTTTAAAACCGTGGGTCTGAAGATAGTACCTACGAAACGACCTCTTAGAGGTCACGGATCACGGTCAACGAAATACGATAAGTTATTTTTTTTTTAGTTCAATTTTATTTTTAATTGTTATTACTTATTTCACTCTATTACGCGAGAAAGAAGGGAGCGACGAAGGCAAACAAGGTCAACAAAGGAGCAGCGGGACGTCGTGCAAGGCGCAAAGGCAACGAAAAGTGTGCTAACTGCTATAGTGTGGCAGTGTGTTTGTACAGTTGTATGACAACAGAAGTGTATATAGTAATACAATTGATGGAAGTCGTATGATGACAACCACGCGCAAGTGCAAGTAGTCGGTAGACGGTAATGCGGTTTATACACTTTAAAATATGCGAATATTTAGCGATAAACAATAATACTGATAAGAGAAGAACTCCAAAGTTAACACCCCGCCGTTGTTATCTCATAATAACCTGATGAATGATGATTGATAACTTAATATCATAGAACAATGTAATATATTATTATTGTGCAGATACCAAATCCCTTAGATCATAATCATAATTTAGGTCTATGTATTTGTATTATACATACATAATATCATAGAAAAGAGATTAATTTGTTATAATATTATTGTATATGATCTAAGCAAAATCCTCATAGTGATCACTGATCAGTAACTAATCAATATTCTCCAAGTTCCAACAGCGATCAGCAACTAATTTACACTGTAAGTACACACGGATCTCTTTAGTTATAAGTTTTACTTAATTTTATTAAATTTTAGTAATATTTTAAAATAGTAAATTGTTTGCATATCTTAAAATACCTGTAACTCGCTTTAAAATTAAAATATAACAAAAAGCCCAAGTCATTGCCTAGATAATAATCTTACTTTTAAATTTTATAAGATTTCAATTCACCCTAATTTTTAAACCATCAGATATGAACTTGATTCTGCTGTGCTTAAAATTTGCTATGTTACGCACTTGTAAGACGGAGACAAGAAATGTCACTGTAACGTCCCCTTAAGTGTAAAAACCTTCAATGTAACTAATATGCTTCTAATTATTTTAGGTAAGAATGATAAGATTAAATCCTACAAGGATAGAGCTAAGGATTGAAGATCTAAGCGAATTTGCAGATATCAAAAATCATTATGAAGCTATTAAAAAAACTAAAGAAGAAAAACAAAAAACTCTTTACGGTCCTCTTCTAAATACCAACACCTCAAAAACCAAACAAGACGCTGTACAAGAAAGAATAGGATTTATCCCAAGGCCCAGACATTCATCACAATGAAAGAGAGTACTCAACTGTCTGATTTTTTATTCTAAGTATTTTTATTTATTACTTTTATGCATTTAATGCTAAAATTATTAAAATATTAAATGATTTTAACTATTAACTATGTTATACTGTTTACCTTCTTACTCCTTTTGGTGTACTGTTCAGTTATAGATACTTACTTTATATCATAGGTGTGCTCAGGGTATATGCAGAGTATGCAGCTGCATATCCTGAATAAAGAACATTGTTTCTAGACATGCCAAAAATAAATAATAATCATAACTATATTTGGTTAAACGTAGATAGCGTAAAATGAAATTAAAAATATGTATAACACATATATATTTGTTAAGTAATCATTTTAAATGCAATGAAGATGAATAAGTAGCTGAAAAAAGTTGTTACAAAAACAAGAAACGATAACAAAACAAATTGAAGTTAACATGGGCGCTAAAATTCTATGCATGTGGCTTCAGTGGATAAAAGATTTTGAGTTTTGACAAACAAAGTATTTTTGAACAATTTAGTAACATATTAAAGAAGTTTGCAGTAATACCAGTCACAAGCAGTATGTGCATGTGAACGATCATTTTCGAAATTAACTTTAATGTAAAAGATTAAAAGATAAAAAACGGGTTAGTGGAAGTCGCTCTGCTGCACAGACGTCAGACACACAGTAGCTAGTAGGTTACAATAAGTCCCTATGATGGATGGTTTTAAATTTGATTTCAATTGTATAAAATCATTGTATATGAAAAACGATTCTGAGCGAAGACGATAATAATATGTATATTTGAAGATATTATTGTGATTACAGTAAATTATTTTACTATTAGGCATTAGTACATGCATTTAACAGTAGGTTAAATTCATTTTTGCCAAAAAAATTACATTTGAAAATATAATAATATACTTCAAAAGTTTCATATACCCACGAATAATATTTTTAAATTTCAACAAAATAACTAAAATCATTATTCTTGGTTTTAAAATGTAATTTCTTCCAAATTTGAACTTATAAGGATTGTAAAAAAGAACAGTGTTTATAGATTTTTTTTAATTTTTTGGTTAGGTACAGTACAAACTATTTATGAGAATCTGTTTTAAATTTTCATTCCTTACCTATAAAAATTGAACATTTTAAATTAGAACATTTTCTAGATTTTGATACATTTTGTCAACATTTTAATTTTAAATAACTGCTAAAAAATCGAGCCTATGGATCTTTATTAGGTATTTGTTAAATGCTATCTTAACTACTTGAAGAACCTTGTATAGTTGTATTGAAGTTTCAAGATTTGTAACCTTAGATCATAATATCATATACTATGGATGACGGATGTAGCTACAGCGTATGATTTTGCATGACAAAATAAATAATATTTTGTCATGTGATTTTGTTGCCAATATAGCGACAAGTCCCCAAATTAGGTGATCGATGAGCGCAAGCCGATGTGAAAGGCTCTCATATTTATCAATAGGTAATAGGTATCTGTGGATAAATATGCGAGAAGTCGCGTTATCATGCGGCATGCGCATATCGACCGCCTAATTCGGTGACTTGTCGCTGATATCAGTAACATTTTTTTGTATTGATGTAATACGCTGGTATATGATCTAAGTTTGTAACCCAACAAATAACATTTTATTAACATTTAAATAATAAAAAACTAAAAAAATTCAAATATCTATAAATAACTCAAAATGAGTCAAAATATTTGATGAAAATGTCAAAATTAGGTCTTGAAAAACGACCAATTAAGGAAATCGTTAAATGTTAATTTGTTAATTTACGGATGAATATACAATGTCATAGCTCAATAGCTTAGAAATACATTGAAAACTGGAAATAATTTGTCAACTTTCGTGATTTTGATTAATTTTTTCAAATTTTAGTTTCAGACGCTCATAAAAATTGTTGCGTATTTACCTTTTTTAGATTCTGAGTGGAACGATGAGATGAATGTACCTACCTATTGATTTTACAATTATGTGTTTTTTTTTTTAATTTTTAATTTTTTTTTGTGATGATGACTCATCACCTTTTAGGTTCCCAGTAATAGTAGTTTTCAAAAGCGCCGTGAAAAACAAAAGAAAAATTAAGGAAAAACGGGAAATTTTAGGAAAAATCTGTTATCGATAAAATCGATTTTGGTTTTTGGTGTAACTTGAAGTTAAAACAAATGATCGTACATAAGTGAAATTTTCACTGGTTGTTTGTATTTGCATTTTCTATACACGATAACATTTTCAAAATATTTTAATTTATTTTGAACTGTTCAGGGACATTTTCAATTCTCATTTTTTTTAAGTTTTTTTCCTAAAAATATCAATAAAATTTTATTTGTTGGTTGCGAAAACTTGAAAATTTAACAGAAGGCTCCTAGTATATTTTTTCAAAGGCAGATGAAAAATATTAAAAATCCTTAGTCACGATTTTTTTTTATAAGCATTTAAAGTTCAAAAATCGACAAAATATGGAAAAATCACGAAAATTAGCAAATTATTTTGAGTTAAGAATTCATAAAACTTTTTCATTTTAAATCTAAGATTTTAAAGTGTAATACAAGATTCCTTATAAGATTATCTACCTTTATCAAAAAAAAACATGTCTATAAGAAAGTCAAATTAATTTTTTATGAGCGTTTGAAATTCAAATTTTTATAACATTGGATAGGTATTCACTCGATTTCTCATGTAGTGATTTTCTTATTTTGTTGTAATTTAAAAACGAATAACTGTAGATACATGAAAATTTTACTGAATGTGTATTTTATCAATTCTTATACTTGATAAAATTTTCAAAACATTTTGACTTGTTTTGAGCTGTTTACGGACAATTACAGTTTTCAATTTTTTTAGGTTTCTTTTTCTCTAAATATCAATAAAGTTGTATCTGTTGTGCCAAAAAGTGTAAAAATTTAATACAAGGCTCCTGAAGTCCTGATATATTGTTACAATATCAGTTGAAAAATATTAAAAATACATAGGCACAATTTTTTTTTATAAGCATTCAAAGATTGAACTTTGACAAAATTTATCAAATTTAAAATTGAATAATTATTTTTTAGTTAAAAATTTATAAAATGTTCAACTTTTATATCTAAGGATTGAAAATTTAAAACAAGATTCCACGTAAGTAGTTAATTCTGTTACCAAAAAATCTAAAAAATACATAAGCAAATTTTATTTTTATAGTCATTTTAAGTTCAAATTTGGACGAAATTACATAATAAAAAACCTAGAATAACTGATTTAATTATTTTGTTGTGATTGTATAATATTATTCGTGGGTACTTGAAACTTCTAAAGTACACTATTATATATCTATGAATACTATGATAGTATCAGGGTTTGTTGTTGACGTATAACGCGTTATAAGTACCTAATGGAGATTGTGATATGATTAATTTGTAATTTATTATAGGTACCTAATTTAGGTAATTTTTTTTTAATACCATAGATAAATATATAATATGTCTTACCTATACCCAGGGGCGTACTCAAGGGGGGGGGGGGGGGGGTCGTGGGGTTTGAACCCCTCCCGTGACCTTACTAACCGATGCACTTTTGTGCGTTCTTGTTTATACATAATATAATTCACAGGAGCAATTTTCTAAAAAAAAATTTTTAAGAAGGGAAAAAATAAACAAATATATGTATTTTCAATTTTATATCAACATGCATTATACAACGATTACAAGCATTATCTGTTAAGAACTGTATTATGATAACCAGATAAAATTTAAATCAAACATACAAGGTGTATTGATAAGTTGTCGTCACTCTGGACCCCTATACGTATCCACTCTTGATTGAAAATATTTTTTTAAACATTTTTTACGGCGGTTCCGAGTTGCGTGCGAAAATCGTTTTCTGGGTCGAATTGCGTGCGTGGTTTTTTCATAACAGGGTTGAGTTGCGTGCGCGGTTTTTTTGTGACAGAGCAGAGTTGCGTGCGAGATACAGTGTTGATGCCGCACGGTGTGCTAGATTTATTTACACTAAATAATTAAAGAATTTTTTACTAGTGCGTGCCTGGAAGTTCTAAGTACATTGAACCCTACAATAATCTTAAAAGAAAACATGAACACGTTAATCAATCGGAATCGGAATATTGTTCTTTAAATAAACATTTTTCATTTTTGAAATTTATTTTCTGTAGAGTACATTACCATGTTTATATTTAATATTTTTAAAAAGGAGGTGACAAAGTCCCCGTGATAAAAAACAAAATGTTCAACCCCCCCCCCCCCATTGAAAATTCCTGAGTACGCCCCTGAAAGTGCAATATCATTTTCAAGTGCTCTTGGAATTGATCCTGAAGCTGATTTTAAACTTCACCATCGCCAGAAAAAGCCTCCAGCATGGTTAGATCCAAATTCAAATACACAAGTAATTTATGATATTAAAACTTTTTACCGAAAAGAATTCAAATGCGTCTTGTCAACATTAATCAATTTATCAAAAGATAATTTGAAAAGTTGTATTGAAAAAATTAAGCCTTTATTCCAAATGTTGTCTCATCCTCTTAAAAAGGAAAATATTTCCCTTGATGTCATTAAAAGTGCTCTAGTATTATTTCCTCCAAATACTGAAGAAGCAAAATGCAAAGATATAGATACTGTTCAAGCAGAGATGGAAATATTAATCGGGATGTGCCATGGTAGTGATTCAAATACATTTGACATTCTTATAAATAAATCTGAAGAAATGAAACACATTTTACCATGGGCTAATAAAATCTGTAAATTGGCCTTGACTGCACCAGTAAGTGTCGCAACGAATGAAAGATCATTTAGCAAACTCCGACTAATAAAAAATAATTTAAGATCATCTATAGCTGATGATAGATTGGATTCACTTATGATTTTAAGCGTGGAAAAAGATGTGGTTGATCAATTAGATATGAACAAAATAGCAACATTATGGGCAACTTTGAAAAACCGTAGAATTAATATCTAATTGTACTTATGTATAATAATATTATAATTTGTATTAATAAAAATATTTTGTTTAAAACTGATATTATACTTATAACATTTTCTTAATTAAGATTTAAAATACACATTTTTATTAATTTGGGTAAATGGAATGTGGAAGTTGTAAAATTATGATAAATTGTTAGGTAGGTACCTAATATTTTTATTTTCACATGAGCAACTAATAAAGTAAAGACATTTTTTTCTTCGTTTATTGGTCTTAACCATTGGCAACTATTTGTGAGGGGAATTACGGTTGGTAAAGGGACACATTACATGTGTGTTTGTGGGTTGGGATTTGTCGAAGAAACCCCGATGGTCATAAATAAATGATATAAATTAAATAATAATATAAATATAAATATGATATAGAAGAAAACGTATTCGAGCGAAGCGAGAAAAAAATTTTTCAGTCGGCAAATTAATAGATCTACCCCCCCCCCCCCCCCATGAATTGTTGTTCGGGACGGCCCTAGATATAGGTAGTACCTAATAACGACCTAGTATTATTGTTCTATGGTATTAGGTAACGGATATATAATTCTGAAATACTTTTTTAACCTCCCCCTCCCTTTGAAAAATCCTAGACAAGCCAAGAGCCATGAATAATATTTTTAAACTACAACAAATTACAAAATAACTCAAATCCTTATTCTTCTTTTAAATATCTAATTTCGTCCAAATTTCAACAATTAAAATGTTTAAAAAAAATTGTATTGATACAATTTTTAGATTATTGGTTATCAGTATTAACTACTTATGAGGAACCTTGTACCTATAAACATTTCAATTTAGAAAAAAACTAAAACGTCACCGCCACGAAGTGTCGAAATTGGCATACCGACATTACAAGATTCGTTCAAAATGTATGCCATTATGCCAATATTTGCTAGAATTTATGACTCCATTCCTAGAATTTACTGTCTAAAGATGAGGTAAGAGTTTTCCATGTTCTGAAGTTTTACCACCACCTTACTAAAATCTTTTGAAATTTGAAATATTATAGGTAGGTACCAAAATTAAAATTATTAACGTCTATTACTTGGTAGAATTTGTAAGTCCATTTTCAGAATTTACTAGTCGCCAAATCTAAAATCTGAGGTATGACTATATGAGCTTTCAAAGTTGTATAAAATTGACTATTGTTAACATCAATGTGAGTGGGACTAGTGGGAGGGGCTTCGATCTCACACAACTAAAAACTATATTTTTGGGGGGCTGATGATATATGTGGGGGGCACGATGTAGAGAAGATAATATTATCTTCTCTACATCGTGTGACGACCACGATTTAAGATATACTTAAGTATATCTTAAGTCGTGGTGACGACCAGACGACTGACGGTCGACAATAAAAATAGGCGATAGTCGATAAGACGGACAAAATCGTAATAAAAATAGAATTCGGGCACAATTGGATGCAATTGGAGCACGATGGGGAATGTAGATGATAGATTAATATCTACATCGTAGTACAGCTGTGTATAGGCACAGAACATCGAGAATCGAGATAGATAAACAATACATTGTTATTATCTATCTCGATGGCAGTGGCGTAAACTGGGTGGTGCAAATGCAGCACTTGCACCACCACATCTAAAATGTGATGGTGCAAAGGTATGTTTTTGCACCACCAGAAAATCATTGAAATATATAATTTATAAAGAGGTACAAAATAGTTATTTTAGTGCATGTATTAGGCATTATCATTTAAATTATTACCCTATCTATATTCTAAAATATCGTACAACCCCCATAAATAGTTAGATTATTATCTATGGTAACCACTATCCACAGAATTTTGTATTTTATTATGGCAGTATCACAAAATCACGATTAAAGATATTTTTTTATATTATATCTTTAATCGTGCACAGAATAGACGTATAATATGGTAAAATTATATTGCTATCAACATTCTACCGCCAAAATAGTGTGTTATCACTGGATCAATGTTCATTCAATTCTCAAAAGTCAAATGTCAGATGACAGCTAGACGTCGTATTGAATCAAATTTTAAAATTCTCTACAGGTTTCATAAGCGCCAGGAAAAACAACATAAAAATTAAGGAAAAACAGGAATTTTTACCCGAAATCGGTTTTCGACAAAATCGATTTTGGTTTTTGACCAAACAAATGAACATATACATATACGATAATTATAATTGAAATATTCACTGGTTGGGTAAAAAAGCTTGGACATTTAATACAAGGCTCCAACTATATTGTTACAATGACATTAGAAAATTATTAAAAATCCTTAGTCACAGTTTTTTTTATAAGCATTTAAAGTTCAAATCTTGACAAAATACAGAAAAATCACGAAAATTAACAATATAATTTGAGTTGAAAAAATCATAAAAATGTTTCTTTTTAAATTTAAGATTTTAAAATGTAATATAAGATTATTCATAAGTTTGTATACGCCTTTATCAAAAAAAAAAATGTCCACAAGTAAATCAAATTAAATTTTTATGAGCATTTTAAAATCATATTTTTACAAGATTGGATATTCACTAGATTTCTCATGTAGCGATTTTGTTAATTTGTTGTTATTCAAACAAATAACTGTAAATACATGAAAATGTATATATTTATATTTTAATTTTCTATACACCACAAAGTTTTGAAATTATTTTAACTCTCTTTGAGCTGTTTCCGGACATTGTCATTTTTATAGTTTTTTTAGTTTTTTTTTTCTATAAATATCAATAAAATTTTATTTGTTGGGTAAAAAGCGTGAAAATTTAATGGAAGGCTCCTGATATATTGTTACAATAGCGTTGAAAAATATTAAAAATACATAGCCACAATTTTTTTTTATAAGCATTTGAAGTTCAAATGTTGACAAAATGTATGGATAAATATATAGTTTTTTTTTGTTAGGAAGGATTTTACTTAGAAAGTTGGATTATTTTTGTGTTGGAAATTATAGGTTAAGAATATGCCTCTGCACCACCAGAAATTGGACCCAATTTACGCCACTGCTCGATGGCACAGAATAATTCTGTGTCCATACACTGTACTACGATATTATTCCACGGTACAGGTACAGTGTTACACTTTACTACTTTTATTGATGGGGGGCCCACAACTGTGTATTGGCCCCTGGGCCCCTGAGGCTTGAAGGTCTTAATCCGGGCTTGTCAGTGTACGTGAGACCAGACGGTCTCGCCAAGATGGATAATAATCCACCTTGGGTCTCACTGTGGTCTCACCAATCACTATTACGTGTCTCTCTCAAGCGGACGGAGTGCGAACTGCGAAGTACAGTTTATAAAAAAAAAGTTCACAATTCACGCGCGGTCCACTCGGTCCAGTCACCTCCACGAATTAAGATATATCTTAATTCGTGGTCACCTCTCACCATTCACCGGTGGCCAGTGATACCTGATATTTGATAAGGTTTAAAGTCTTGAAGTCTCATTGTCTCAGTCAAATAGCTTAATCTTTTTTCTATGGTCTCATCTCTCAGTAGGCAGTTAACTGTTAAGTCATAGTTACCATTACTTTATGTCTCTGACCAAATTCCAGTTGATTGATTATTCTATCATTCATCTCTAGTCTGCAACACAATTATAAAGAACTGTATAATCGTAGTCCGCAATGAGTACATAATAAATAATAATTTAAATTCAGCTGCATGTTGATAACGATAACGGATAAAGACCTAGATAAATTACGGACTTCTTAAGTCTTAACAGTTATAACTTATGAGTTAATAATTATTATTTATTAAGTCCGTAATCACTAATCAGTGTTCCGTGACCGTGACTACTGACCACAACTACCCTGAGCCCGGCCGCGAAAGAACAGTGAAATGAAGAATTGAAATTAATTAGTTAGTTCTAATCTAATTCTCTACTATAGTCGGCGACGAAGGATTGGTGAGCAAAATATAGTATAGGCACATACATAATAGATACTATGTTTTCATACCATATACATAAATTACATTTTAAACGTATTTGGTTGTTAGGGTGTATCGTGTATGTTAATAATATAATATAGGTACTATTGATCTTGCAGTGTGTTATGATTTTGATTTCCATAATTGTTGAGAGCAATTTTATGACGTACTGATTTGAGAGTACCTAATTTAAATCGCCTCTACCACAGACCACAGTTGAGTACAGCCTCGAATAACAATTTTTACAATTGTACCCCTTATTATCATATTTTATCATCTTGTAAGTAATATTATTGTTTACTTAAATTTTATTTTATTATTTTACAATAATATTCATCAGATGCTGGTTTAATTTGTCTGTATACTGTGTATTAAAATAGTTGTTTTGTGAATTTAAATGTGAAATTTAAATCATAATAGAATGTTTCTGCTAGTGTTTTTTGGGTATCTGTAGATAATTATTGTTTTTGCTAGAGCGCGGATTTGTATGCATTTGCATATTTATTCTGGTTGATCTTATCCTAAGTTAGCACAAAATTAGTTTCATGACATAACGATTTAAAAAATGAAATTTTTAAGTGCATATTTTTAAATATTTTGACATTTATCTACTATTAAGAGCTTATTTTTCAATTTTAATTGTATATTTCATCTTTTAGTGCATATTTAGATTTTTTTTTTCATTTTTTAAATATATTCTATTGTAATGTATTAATATAAGAAAATAATATTATATTTGTATAGTTTCGATTAATATCAAAATAAATTAATAGGTATACTTATAGGTATAAATAGTTTTCCCAAAATTTTTTATATTGATTGATTTCTATTTTTTTTCTTATACATTAAAACTACTTACAAAATGATGAAAGTAAAGAAGAAAACGAAGAAAAGTATTTATAGTAGGGTTTCATAATTTTAACTATATTGTTTTAATTAAATGTTCAATAAACACATTGTTTTATTTTTTATGCATATATTTTATTTTTCATGCATATTTTTTATTTTCTTGCATATTTTAACATTTTAGTGCATATATTATTTATGATTTTTTAGAAAATTCAAAATTCAGAAAAGATTCCAAATATACAATTTATTTTGCATGTTATAAGCATTTTAGATTTTAAGTGATATTTTTGCCAATTTGCTTTTACAATCTGATTTATTTTATGTGTTTCTTAAATCGTAGTTTTATAAGGGAATAATTTAATAAAATAAATGAAACCGGTTTCAACTTAACTCGAATCTATATACCTTTATATTTCTAATTAAAAATAAAATATCAAATTGTTTTACCAGTGTTATACATTATTTATTTTGTTCATAGAAATATGTCTGACACTGACTCAGAATTATCAACAGATGGTGACAATAACAATGAGTCTCCTTTTTTCAACCATTATTTGGGTAGTCATCATGGATTCAATTATGAACTCGATAATATTGAAAGTCTACCTTTTGATTCAGATAGTTCTTCAGGAAGTGAAACTAATTTAATAAATCGTACGAGTTCTTCATCTAGTGATGTAAGTTTTCAAAGTCCATACCTAATTTATTTTATTTTAATTTTAATTTTATCATTTTAGAATGAAACATTATTTAACACCTCATCAGACGATTTAGATTTACTAGAAAATGACTCAACTCATAGTTCAAGAAATGCATTGTATTTAGATCATTTAAACAAAAAAAAGATTAAAAAAATGAAAACCACTCCTTCAAAGCCCAATAATTGGTGTCTTCCTAAAGAATTATATAACAGGTTTATAGTTAAATTTTGTATATTAAGTTGATAAAATAATTAAGATTTTTGTCTTAGAGAAATCGGCCAGTATAACACCCGTGCTCAGTGGGGTTATAAGTTCTATCAATCAGCGTTTGCTGTACATAAACTCAAATTGAGTAAACTCTTAACAGGCCATGAAGGATGTGTAAATTCACTAGACTTTAATAAAACTGGTAACATAATAGCAAGTGGATCTGATGATTTTAGAATATGTTTATGGGATTGGTCAAATGATAAATGTTTACTCAATTATAAAACTGTACATACTAGAAATATATTTCAAGTAAATTTTATTTTCAGTATATTATATTTGTGTTCTATGTCTTAAAATGGTTTTAACTCATTGTTAATTATTATTTCTATAGACTAAATTTCTCACTACACATGCAGATGCCCACATTGTATCAAGTGGACGAGATGGCTTAGTTGTATTGTCTGCTGTAAGTGATTCTGATTGTATATATAGTAAAATAATAGGACACCATGATCGCTCTTGCAACAAAGTTGGTGTACATCACGAAACACCATATGTAGTTCTCAGTTGTGGAGATGACGGAATTGTTAAAAATATAGATATTCGTGAATCTCCTATCAATGAAAATGAAAGAGTTACCAAGTAAGAAATTAACAATTTTTTTTACATCATTAATAATTCAAAAAGTACCTACAAATTTTTTTTATGAAATAATGTTTTTGAATATTTTGAAAACACATACAATTCTTGCATTTTATAATCTTATTTTGTGCTTCCTTGTGTTTATTGGCGAATCCACCAATTTTTTTTTTATCTAAACATTTAACAATATAATTAATTATCATTGATAAGTAATAACTAATCGGTATTTAAAAATTAATTAAATTCTGATAAGGTTTTGCTTGAAAATATATAAAATATAGTTTATGTAGGTATCTATTATTTTGTTAATTAGTATACTACATATCAAAAATGTTCATGGTACTTCTATGCGTCTATATGGTATTGACATTAATCCTTTGAAGCCATATGAGTTTATTGTAAATGGTAATGATGAATATGTAAGAATGTACGACAAAAGACATCTAATCGAGGACCCAATTAAAGTATTCCATCGTGAGCTTAAGGGTACCAAAACAAAAGAAGTAAATATATTATACAACTATACTGAACACATTTTAACTACATTTTAACTTACAGTTTGAAATGGCTATTAGTGTTAATAGAACTGATGATAGTGCTACTAATGACACTGATAATAATGATCTTGATGGCACTGATCATAGTGATGTTGATGTCGCTGATAGTTATAGTAATTCTAGTTCTAGTCTAAGCAATTATTCTGACAATGATGGGCCGCAAGTGGATTTAAATTATTTTAAACATATTACATCTGCTGTGTACAGTTATTGTGGAACTGAAATTTTAGCTTCTTATAGTGAAGATGACATTTATCTATTTGATGCTAATGGTCGACCAAATTCCGTTCTACACAATTATGATGGCCATATAAATAGAATGACTGGTATTTAATTTAATTTATCTTATGGTATCAGCGCACTGATTGTATTTTTCTCTATGCCCACCCATAACTTAGACAAAATGCATTCATGCAAAATCATTTGAGTAAAATTACTCAAATATCAATATTTTTGAAGGTATAAGTATGAAATATTGATTTGTCTAAATATTATTTAATATCCATTTAAATTTACAAGAAACAATTATAATTTTAAAGTTGAATATAAAGGCAAATGATTATAAAATATATAACCGATGTGTCAAACCCTCAAAAACATCACCCTCTATTATTTTGTAATAGGTAATTTGTTCTACAACTACTCAAACAAAAAAAAACCATTTTACGCAAATGCATTTTATTTATGTTGCATGTGGGTCTGAAATAGAAAACAAATGTACACGGCTTCTTACAAAAAGTGGTGATTTTTATTAGTGATGTTTTATACTTATAACATTATTTTCCCTTATTAACGGCTTTCCCTTTTATAATTTTAGTGACTGTTATTATATAGATGCTTCAATGCTTAATACATATTAGTTGTAATTGCATTACTATAGTATAATTCATTTTGGTTCTAGTCAAAGGTGTCAATTTCTATGGACCAAGAAGTGATTATGTGGTATCTGGATCAGACTGTGGACATATGTTTATATGGGATAAAAAAACTGAAGCTATAGTCCAAAAAAAACGTGCTGATAAAAAAGGAACTGTAAGTTTGATATTTACCTTCAAAATTATATTACTTATCATCTCTTTGTTTTTAGGTTAATGTATTGGAAGGACATCCACATATGCCAACCCTGGCAACTAGTGGTTTAGATAAGACTATTAAAATATGGGAACCTGTAAATATATCTCATCAGCGGAATAAAAAGAAGCTCAGATTGGTAAATTGATGTACTTATACAGGGTATAATAGGAAGACCTGACAAATGAAATCACTTATATTCTAAATAATATTATTTTTTTTTTATAATTTTCTTACAAATGCTTCTGCAATACATATAGTATAATACTGAAAAAAAAAAAAAAAATTTATTTTTTTGAACAATTTAAAATAGCCAATTTGTAAATCTGGTTTCAAAAAAATTGTTGATTGTAAAAACATTTACTCAAGTCATTTAGTTTAATTGAAATTTCATTATTTATGTTAAGTAAATTGTATCCAGTCATATATACATTTTTTATAAATATTTTATGTAAAATCTGAAATAGATATTTGTTAAAATCTAAATATTTTCCTCGAATGACAATGGTCACAAAATAGTTCATTTCTGCTCTTCAAAAGACCTCATAATTAATAGCACATATTTCCCAAGAAAGAACATTTATAAACATACATGGTCTGCTCCAGACGGGAAAACAAAAAATCAAATTGTCCATATCATCATAGACAAGAGGCACAAAACGTCAATTCGTAATATTAGAAGTTACAGAGGAGCTGAAAGAAACACAGACCATTATATAGTTGTTGCAACTTTTGTACTAAAGCTATCAGTAAAATGGAGGAGTAAGAGGCAAACAGGAAAGAATAACAAACTTGACATAGAAAAAGTTAGGAATCTAAATGAGATGGATACTTACCAAAGAGAAATTTCTGAAAATCTCAGGAAATTCAATCTTGCAGAACATGAATCGGATATTGTAACACTGTGGTCAAAAACAGAAGAATCTCTAACAAAAGCCGCTGAAAGATTACAAGTTAAGTGCATTAAACAAAGTGAAAATCATTGGTATAATTTGGAGTGTTAAGCTGGGTTAACAAGCAAAGTTTAGCTAGACAATATATGATGCTGAATCCAACACTAGAAAACATTAATGAATACTCAAAACTTAGAACTTTAGCAAACAAGGTGATTAGACAACAGAAACGTGCAATGAAAAAAAGAGTTATAGAGGATATCAAAGTTTATAAGAAAGAACCGAGACTGTTTTTCAAGAAGTGCAGATCGGTTAAGGAAGGATTCAAAGCACGTGTTAATTTCATCACAGACATTAGTGGTTTTATAATATCAGAACATAGCGAGATTGTTAACAAATTTCAAGAACATTTTGAAGAATTGCTAAATAACAAAAATAATTGCATCGGAAGTAACAATAATGAAAAGTGTATCAAAGAAATAGTGTATCATACAGCAGAACATGAACCTCCAGCACCAAGTATCGAGGAAATTGAAATAATCATTAAATCACTAATGAATAATAAATCTCCAGGGGAGGATAATATAAATTCTGAACTACTAAAAATTGCAGGAAAAGAAATATTAATTAACCTACACCAAATTATAACGAATATGTGGACCAGCAAACAAATATAACCGGAATGGTCGTCATCAGTTATTTGCCCAATTTTCAAGAAAGGAGATCCAACTAAAGTTAATAATTATTGAGGTATTTCACTGTTAGACATAGCGTATAAGGTGCTCTCAATAGCTATCTTAAGAAGGATAGAAGCATTAGCAATAGACATTGTAGGAAAATATCAATGCTGCTTCACAAAAGGAAGATCTACCAGTGGCCATATCTTCAAGCTTAGACAAATAGTGGAAAAGTATTATGAGTTTGACGAAGACTTACACATGATAATTATAGATTTTAGACAAGCGTACGATATCATCGACAGAGAGCAACTATGGATAGTATTACAGAATTTTGGATTGCCCAAGAAACTAGTAAGTTTAGTTAAAAGCTGCAATTTAAATACTAAATGCAAAGTGAGTTTTCTGGGAAGGGAGTCAGGGGATTTCGAAGTCCAGTCCGGTTTAAGATAAGGGGACGCGCTATCCCCCATTCTTTTTAATATAGCATTGGAAAGAGTAGTTAGAGATATGCGTGAAACGCGAGAAATGGATCTAAATGGTAGTGGGACTTGCTAGCATATGCTGACGACATTATCATTCTTGGTGATTCTCAAACCGAGGTAGAAGAAAGTACAAATTAATTAATTAAGTCTAGTAAAAGAATGGGCCTCAATATAAACTAGAACAAGACAAAGTATATAATCGTGAGTAGGTGTCCAAGAATTTTACAGAATTTCACTGTAGATGGATATACATTTGAGCAAGTAGAAAACTTTAAATACTTGGGTGTCAATTTGAATAATAGGAATTATATGCACAACGAAGTAAGATTGAGGCTGAATGCGGCAAATCGAAGATATTATGCAATGAGCAAATTATTCAGTTCCAAGCTTCTCTCCAGGAAAACTAAGAAAAAGCTTTGTATTTCCTACTTACGGCCTATAGTAATGCATGGTATGGTAACGTGGTCAACCACTAAAGGGGACGAGACAAAGTTATTAGTATTTAAAAGAAAGGTACTTAGAAGAATATACGGTCCCATATATAATACGGAAACGGGGTAGCACGAAAGGAGAACTAATGCAGATATTGAAGGAATCTTTAACGGACCAAATATCCAAAAATATATTATCTCAAAGAGACTGGAATGCTCCGGACATGTAAGTCTATTAATAGTAGAACAACAATTTATTTTCTTTAAAATTAAAAAAAATTGTATTTTATTATTATAAATAAATATTAATTAAAACAATATTTATTTTTTCACTATAAAATTATATGTTGTAATCTGGGCTTAAAATAATAAAAGTTGGATTACCTCAATGGTAGGGTCGTCACACATCCCACTGGGGTCTATTGCATACAGCATGAAGATTTTTAAATTTAACATTTGCCAATACATTTTTTTTTTTTAATAATAATTCTGTTGTACTATCAAAAATAAATTAAGTTTAAGTGCATTTTTGGAGTTTTTAGGTTGTAAATGTATTTTTGGTTGGCATTACATTGTTATTGTACCATTATAGTGCATTTTATTCATATAACTTTAGTGCGAGGCATAAAGTAAGAGTACTCAATTTTTGTATTTTTTTAAAAAAAATTACAGGACATTGTAGGTATACCATATACATATTATTTATTTTTCCACATGACTATTGTTCTATTCATTTTGTAAGTCGTGGCACGAGTTTTTTATGCCCTCCTCATAGAACTCTCCCGCCATCTCCTTTGTCCACTTCAAGAACTCTTGTTTCACCTCCTCATCGGTTAGGTTAGGTTTCCACCCATGTAAGTCTTTAGGAAGGTGAAAAGATGGAAATCTGAAGGTGCTAAGTCAGGGAAATATGCAGGGTGATTCAAAATGTCACGGTGTTGGTGGCGTTGGCCGTGTGTGGGAAGGCGTTGTTGTGCAACAAACACACTCCCTTCGTTAACATTCCTCTTTGTTTGTTTTGAATTGTTCTCTTTAATTTTTGTAGGGTCTCACAGTATCGTGCTGCACTAATTGTCTCCCCGTGAGGCAAAAAATCAATCAAAATCATCCATTTTCGGTCCCACAACACAGATGCCATGATTTTTTTTGTCCGAAATTGAAGTTTTGAACTTTTTGGCAGAAGGGAAACCATTGTGCTGCCTCTGTGATGACTGTCTTTTTGTCTCAGGGGTGTAATGAGCCACCCCTGTTTCATCACCAGTCACAATGGAACTCAGAAATTAGGAACCTTATGACAGCGCGCGTTTTGCACTTGGTGGGATTTCTTATCGACATTTTTCACAAAAACAAACAACATGCAAGTTTTGGTAATGACGTGGATCGGCGGTACTTGTTGGGTACCTTTAACCCCCCACTACCACTTAGACACTTAGTGTTGCTAACTATTGGAAAAAAAATTCTCACAGCACGACAGCCGAACAGTACTTTTACTTTCTGGATATACCTCATACATCATTAATAACCAGAGCTTGGATTTTATATAATTTGTTAATTATTATTCCAACATGCAATTTTCTATATTCGTATGGTATATTATAATTTATAGTTCTTGTTAGTCAGGCCCTGATTTAATAAAATTTGGGCCAAGTGCACAATTTTTTTGGGGGCCCCCTACCCCCTACCCCCACCGGCCACCACCACAAGTCAAAAAAATGTTCTAGAAAAAATCTATACAGAGAGTAGGAGGAAATATTGATAATAAAACAAAATATTTATATGTTAAGTATTAAATAAATATCTCAAAATTCATAAAATATTTGTACATTATTTCATGTACTATAAATACAATTTAGTTACTTGGTCTGGTAAATTAAGGACATTGAAAAGATAATACTAATTAAATAACATAATTAATTATCAATCTTCCATAAAATTACATAACACAATGCATTTAAATGAACACACATTATTTCAGATGGAAATGATTAACTCATTAGTTAAATAATCATAGGTATTATAATTTATATTATATTTTATGTTATAGTAACATAGAACTTACCTAGTATTTTATTAAAGTATCGATCCATAGACCCAGATAGCTTTTTTTTTTTGTTCTTCTTTTCCTAATTTAAGTTTTCGTTTAGCCGCCCCGCTTAAATACTGCCGCGACATATTAGTTATTGCCTATCAAACTTTCAAAACAATTATATTTAAGTCTAAATAATATTCATGAAAATTAAAAAAGAAGTTTCGAATGTTATAAATTATCACATTAATGCTCACCTATTCAAATACACGTGTGACTCGTGTGAGCGACGAGCGTACAAATTTATAAACCACGGTACTGACTACTGACAAATATACAAATGTAATAACGGCTAAAGCATAATATTCATAACAATAAAATAACAAGATAATAATATTGTCAAAAATAATATATGGTAAAGCGATCAGTGACGTGCGGGCACAACGCTAACATGTAAATGTAAATGTACGACAACATTGGACAAGAATAACTATATTAGTTTATTTATAACATTTGTTTTTCGATATTCATTTCCGTGGATAACTGAATAACCTAAACCAATAGTTCTAAAAATGGTAATTGTGGGAGCGAAATGCTTCACCAACGACCGGTTAATCAGTAAATACTGGGCTGGAAGAAATCTATAAATAGTTATTATGTATCAAATATTTCCGATGTTCGAACAATTTTCTATTATTATTATTTTAATATGATGTATTGAGGTGTAGAATAACTTATACTAGTATAAGGTCTATGGGAATTATAATTTATTAAAAATAATTAATTTAAAAAAAAATTTTAATACAGAAAATTTTCTACAATTCACGGAGATCGGGGGCCCCCAAAAATTGGGGGCCAAGTGCAAGTGCTCCATCTGCACTTGCGTAAATCAGGGCCTGTTGTTAGTGCTACAACTTTTATGTTCCATTAATAATAATAATAAATAATAAATATAAAAGTTGTTGTGGAATTTAAATTTAAAATCCTTGGATATGAATGAAATTATTAGAGGGGATTGGAGAGAGATCCCTCAATACAGATACTATAGGTATATTAATTCCTTTGGCTACTACAATAGTCAATAATATATGTAATACTTTCTGTATAATATGAATGTTAGTTTTATTAAAAATATGAATAAGTAGGCTACCGGCTAAAACCTCTTTTGATACATGAACTATAATAATAAACAATAAATTTTTAAAGAAAATGTACATAATATAAGCTTTTCTGTCTACATCTTTTTTAACATTTGATACCATTAACTTTTTCTAAATTTTATTTGATAGTTAATTTATAGTTCTAATGAAATTTAAAATTTAATTTCAAAATTACAGATGATTTAAGTTGAATGGTAGCTGCTCATCACACAGATACTCTCAAGTATTTGAAGAATTATGTATGCACACAAAATTATCAATACTAAATATGTTTTTTTTAATCATTGTAAAATATGTATGATATAAAATAATAGTTATAGGAATAAAAATGTACAATTTGTGTATATTTGTATAATTATTTTTAATTTCTCTTTAATACATTCCAATTAATGTTGAAAGTCTAGTGTAATATTTTAACATAATTAAACCTAGAACAATTGTGTAAACTCCTTTGATAGCGATTATAGACCAGGGATCAATTAAAAGCCAAGCAGCTAAAGAGTCTATAACCACTGAACGGTAAACAGACAGTAACAGAAGAATGCTGACAGCAGCAAATGGCGAAAATTTTGATTGTAGTTTATTTAAGTCATGCCTGGACCATAACCAAACTAATGCAGCGGTCATTATATGATGCATCTAAAAACAATTAATATACAATTAACATTATTGTTATGAAAAAAGACCTAAACATAAGATAGATTAAACAGTTCAAGAGGATGTGATGGGCCGCATGTGTTGTCTCCGTTTTAGAAGTATGTAACATAGAAAAAAGCCCCTCTAATATAAACAAAACAGTTTTTACACCCAAATGTGCGGCGGTAGACCAGCTTCTTAATAACAAAATGTATCTATTTACATACATAACTTCTATATTAAAAATTAACGTTGATACATTGACATCAAAAATGAGGCTAATTTTTCAGTTATCTTAATAATTAATTTCCATAAACTTTTAAACTATTAATTACTATTTAAATTTTCTCACCAAATTTATATTTGACTCTAAACATTTTTGTGTGTACTTCCAATCAAATTCGGTGCCTCTTGCACCTACCCATAAGAGTAGAAATCGTGTCAACAATATTTCAGCACCGGCCCAGCCAATACCAGCCGTCATTACCTTGGCATGCCCCTTGCCAGGTATGCTTTGCAATATAACATATATTCCAGCAATATCTGCTAAATCAACGGAGCTTTTGAAAAAATTCTAAAAAAAATATACCATGGTAAAATGACGATCAATTATTAGTCGATTCACTTTTTTTACATACTCATATTGTATATAAAAAACAGGGAATGGGGCATTAGTGCATTTATTAGTTGCATGTCATTACCGATAAACTCAATGTCGTTATGGACGCCTCGTTGGCCGGAAAGAACGTTGCTAATATTAACATCTTGCACAGTTGGGTAAACGCATAGATAATGCCACCTTGTATGCACTTCCAAAATGCTCCATACTCAGATCTGAAAAAAAAAATTAAATGAAAACCACCGGCAGCGGGAGCATAAAATCTAGTTTACTCACAGATTTGCGTATTTGTACGTTAAATAGTGTGGCACGTACAAGAGAGTGACACAATTACCAAAATGATACAAAGTCATTTTTGATGAAATCAATAGACTTGCAAATTAATACGAAAATCGCAGGTCGAAGTTAATTTAAAAAATATTATGCATCGCAGACATAGGTATTAGGTAAGCGAAAAAAGTGAATATAACCGGCAGCCGCCTCAATCAAATATTTATTATTATGCCAACATAAGGCGGCTATCATCAAATACTATAGATAAGTGAATGTTAAAATGCTTGCGACAAATCCCACAAAATCATAGTGGTTGCCTATATGAGAAATCCTTGGGCGTAGCTGACATATGATAAGAAAAAAACTGTTATCATATTTTTGAATTAAAACTTTAATAATCCTGGATTTAATTACTTCAATATCAATTCAGATTTTCAAATTTTTTATATTAAAAGTTTTAAAACAAGAGGTAACAACAATACTACCTCTGGTCTTAATGACTTAAATATTATATTCTAATACTAGTAATACTACTATGCAATAAATAGGTACAATTGATTTGTAAATATTTTTTTACTACAATACATACTATTTTTAATTTGCTGGAAATTTATGGAACGTTAGTTCGGGATTATTTTTACTCCTTTTATTGCAGTTCCAATATGAACAATTAACATGAGATGGCATTATAATATGAAAGGAAATACAAACATCACATTTTACAAATAAAAAATCAGTAAATATAAATAACAAGAAACATTAATTATATTTGGAATTTTAAAATTTACAATTTTTAACAAATCATTATTATCAAAATATAATACAGACACATATCTATAGTATTTGATGATAATCTATTTTTAATTTGTGTACTTGTTTGAATCAGAAATTAGGTGTAATATTAGAGTCAACGCCGTAAAATGTTTTAAGTAGGCAACATATACGTCTTCGGGGGGGACGAAATGTGTCGCGATTTTTAACATTCACTGTCCCGTATTCTTATCTATAGTATTTGCTATCATGCAACAACTCTAAACCACGAATTAAGATACTTCGACCATATAAACTAAGTTTATATGGTCGAAGTTAAGATATATCTTAATTCGTGCTCTAAACTCTATGTTTACGGGCGCTCGTGTTTAATAGATAATACTACATGATAAATTATTCTGTGAGACGATCAAGGACCACGATTAAAGATATAATGGTCGCCCAACGAGCATGGAATACATGTCTTTAATATTACTCTCATGATTAGAACAATTCTGCAGCGCTCTATAACAGCAGTGGAATATTTATGTACTATTGTACTATATTAATATAATAATATTACATAGTTTTAGAAATTAACAATAATTTACAAAATGGGCATGGTCGTGAATCTGAAATTTTTATTTTTATTTAATGTTTTATATATACTTATCTATGGTTTCAGTGTTTTACAGGACTCCTTGTCCAGATACCCATGTGTGTAATATATCTTAATTTTTTAAATGGTATTGACATATCCTAGATTTGTCTCTTAATGTAAATCCTAAAGCTTTCTCCCATTTAACCTTCAAGGAAATTTCCTTAGGTACTCCAAACGTACTGGGGTTTAAACCTTTATAAGAGCAAAAAGATAAACAACACTTCATTATTTTCTTTGTAAAACACAATACCTATTACGTAGGTAAAAATACTTAAAATGTGCATGAAATAATTATTTTTAAAATTATAAAAATAATAATCACAATTAAAAATTAAAATATACATTTATATCATCCCCCCCTTCACGCAAAGGTTCACAACTAATTATATCTTTAATCGTGATTTTAATCAATGGTTATGGTAGTTGTGTGCTTACTGCTTATAAAGTTTAAATTAGGCGGGAATATATTTTTAAATAGTATTTTAATAAATCATTAATATCACGGATAGAGAGCGCACTAAGTTGGTTCAGCAGCTGATTCTGAAAGTAATTTCAATTGCCATGTGATATCGCGGGAGTATCCAAATTTTCCCAAAATATTGTTGTCCCAATGTACATTTTTCCCAATTTCGCTTGTGACATAGCCCGTCGGGCAACCATTATATCTTTAATCGCGGATTATACACATAATAATATGAAATAATGAAAATCTGACGCGTCTGACTAGCAGCGCTCGGCAGATAATAGAACTACGACGTCACGAGTTCTGACCGCCGATCCAGTCCGCGTTGCATAACCTTTATAATCGTATACATCACATTCACAGTTTGGATACAATTTAACTTAAGTTACTTCCATTTTTTCATTGGAAGTTAAGTTAATTGACGTTCTTTATAATCATGATGTATACTGCCTCTCAACGACTCCTATCAGACGTTCCAAGTTCCAACTTTGTAAATAGTTCTAGCAGCATACCGCTACGAACGCTAGTAGTCCGGGAAAATTAAAGATACAACGGTTTTAAGTGGTATGAACCACGGACTAAGATATACAAACATATTTATGTTTATGTTATTTCATGTTTATTTCTATAAACATGTTTATGTATCTGTGGTATGAGCCTAAGGAGAACGACCATAGACATATTAATATGTCTATGAGAACGACTCAAGAACGACACTAAAACTCATTACCCGGCAAAATTAAATTTGTCTCATTAAAAATCCGTAATTGTAATCATGGATAAAAAGTTGTTTTGCATTCAATGATCAATTCATTGAATAAGAAATAAAAATCTAAGATAAAAATTTCCCAACATTTCGTCATCCATATTTGGATATTCCATAATATGGTTGCACTACAACAGATTAGCTGTCAAATATGCAATATAACTATAACATTATGTAAATTTAGTTTATATACATAATTTAATAAGCCTATTATGTTATATTATACATTTATACTCTTATATTTATACTTAATAGAAAAAAGTAATAGTAAGCAATTATTTATTAGACACAAATAAAATTATTGATAATATTGATTGTTTAATTTATTTTAATTATATTATTATGTATATCATCGCCATTGGTTGGTGGAGTACTACACTAGAACTTTTGTAATTGTTGTTGCCTGGCAGACAGCCCTCAAAAACGTCAGTCGGCGGTAGTTGTTATCTGCAGCTTGTCGTCGGTTCGGCTTCTAATTCAGCTGGTGTTCTTAGTTCTTCAATAATAGTGTTCTTCACTTAGATTCCTCATAAGTATCTCTACCTTTATCAAAAAGAATATCTACCGGAAAGTCAAATTCAATTTTTATGTGCGTTTGAAGCTTAAATTTCTATAGCAACATTGGATATTCTCTATATTGATTTCTTGTGATTTTCTTATTTTGTTGTAATTCAAAAACGAATGAATATATACTTTATATATACTTGAAATTTACACGATACGTTTATTTTATCAATTCTTCTATACATGATAAAATGTTGACTCGTTTTGAGCTGTTTAACATTTCGCATTTTTTCTTTAATCTGAATTTTTTTTCTGTCGGACGTGGTGTTAACAGTTCAGACGAGAGTCAAGGTGCATTCCAAGATATTTTGCTGAATCTTTTTGTGGGATTGGTGATTGATTCAGTACTATTTGGATGTTTTCGGTTTTAAACATATACAACGTATAGTACAACGTATAGTTAACGTGCACCGATTTATCTTAATTTTCCAACGTCTTGTCCAGGTAAAGATATTGTCAATTGACCTCTGTAAGTTATCAGTTGCAGTGAGCTGACTATTACGTGTTGACAAATTTCCTGTATCATCGGCAAACATAACTAATGTTATGTTATCATCGTTTGGTATATCAGCTGTATAGAGTAAGTACAGGATAGGTCCTAAAACACAACCTTGCGGTACTCCAGCTGATATATCTTTCCATTCGGTTATCGCTTCTTCGGGTATGACTCGAAATTAACGGTCGGTCAAGTATGATTCAAGAAGTGCACACCAGGTATGTGGCAGCTGATCAAGTAGTTTGATGAGGAATCCTTTGTGCCAGACTTTGTAAAAAGCCTGGGCTACGTCAAGGAATACTCCACAGCAGTACTTTTTTTCTTCAAGAGCTTTACTAATTACATTAGTAACTCGATTTACTTGATCGATTGTTGAAATTGTTGCGAAATCCAAACTGATGTTCTGGTCAGTGGCGTATTTTGAAATTTTTTGTGGGGGGGGGTCTAAATATTAGGTACCTACAAGTTTATAATATAAAAAAAACACATACGAGTTACGATGTAATAATTATATTATATTATATTTTTTTTCTGGGGGGGGTCCAGACCCGGGGACCCCCCCCCCCGTAAATACGCCACTGGTTCTGGTATAAGATTTTTTTCCTCTATAATCGGTTTTAAACGTTTGAGCAAAAGTTTCTCTAAAAGTTTAGATAAACTTGGAAGGAGTGATATGGGTCGGTATGATGCGACATTTTCAGGTGGTTTTCCTGGTTTGAGCAACATGATAACTTGTGCCAGTTTCCATTGTTCTGGAATGTATTCCGTGCGCAAAATAGCGTTGTATATATGTGTAAGATGAATGATAGCCTTTGTTTGGTATCGAAGGATGAAGTGGACTGTATTTTTTTTGGTCAGGTAAAGGCTACGCAATAAATCATACTCGATAAGATACAAATCAATGCCGGTTTGCGGCTTACTATTAAACAAGAAAAAAAATATAGGTAAATGTTGTATAAGTGGCACAAAAGGTGCTGGCCAGCAAAGGGGAATAATTAACTAACGCTACAATAATTGAGTATAAATAAATAAGGTATATAAAAGTATAGACATAAAAACCGTGACGGCGGCTGCAGTCCCGGCTGACGGTTGATGGTAAACAGGTACAGGTAGACGGTGAGTAGGTGACGGATGACGGTAGACGGTGACAATAACGGTAGACTGTAGACGGTAGATGGGTGACGGATAACGGTGGTCTTGACTTTAAGTTAACAGGGACTGCCCACGGGCGCACTGTCGACTTGGTGGTACGGTCGTTACTGATCGGCGGTCGCTTTCGTATGTATGTGTGTGTGTGTGTGTGCGGTGTGCGCGATCAGCTTATCACCGGGTGATAAGCTGCATAGATATGTTTGAACAGCCTTCTTTGGAAGTTCTTTC